ATCCTTTTTTTGTCAAAAATTGATCGTGCGCCCAATATATCTATCAGTATTGTACCAGTATTGCCAGTACCAGTATTGCTTTAAAAACCATTGTGTATAATAGGCTGTTGTGCCATATGTTCGAAAAAAACTAAGATTACGAAGTAGCCTAAGCAATTTATAGACAGTGCGGCTAATAATACAGTACACCTTATGGTCCTTGAAATATGATAATCGATAATTTGCTATTCATAGTGCTTATTGTTTATCTATGCTATTATTGTACTAAAACAAGCACAACACAGCAAGACACCCGTAATCAAATGAACTGAGTTTATTAAACAAGAAGAAACCTATCTCTCACCATTCCCAATCTTTCTCACTTAATCAAGGGTATGTAACCTGTATTTACTTTCTGTAGGATATATAGATGATAATGACTAGAAAACTGCTTGATCGATATTTTAATGGTTGTGTCTTTGCTCAGGAAGAGTAGTTTTTACGTTTAAGCAAGATCAAATAATTTTCTATATTTAGCAGTTTTGGCATTCTAGTAGTGATCCATAACTTTGCTCAGAAATGAGTCTCTATTATTTCAATTTGAGGGCATGTTACCCCCATTTCTCCTTTACTTCAATTTGAGGGCATGTTACCCCCATTTCCCATTCACTTCAATTTGAGGGCATGTTACCCCCATTTCCCCTTTACTTCACTTCGAGGGCATGTTACCCCCATTTTTCCTTTACCTCAATATGAGGGTATGTTACCCCCATTTCTCCTTTACTTCAATTTGAGGGCATGTTACCCCCATTTTTCCTTTACCTCAATATGAGGGTATGTTACCCCATTTCTCCTTTACTTCAATTTGAGGGCATGTTACCCCCATTTTTCCTTTACCTCAATATGAGGGTATGTTACCCCCATTTCTCCTTTACTTCAATTTGAGGGCATGTTACCCCCATTTTTCCTTTACCTCAATATGAGGGTATGTTACCCCCATTTCTCCTTTACTTCAATTTGAGGGCATGTTACCCCCATTTTTCCTTTACCTCAATATGAGGGTATGTTACCCCCATTTCTCCTTTACTTCAATTTGAGGGCATGTTACCCCCATTTTTCCTTTACCTCAATATGAGGGTATGTTACCCCCATTTCTCCTTTACTTCAATTTGAGGGCATGTTACCCCCATTTTTCCTTTACCTCAATATGAGGGTATGTTACCCCCATTTCCCCTTCACTTCAATTTGAGGGCATGTTACCCCCATTTCTCCTTTACTTCAATTTGAGGGCATGTTACCCCTATTTCCCCTTCACTTCAATTCGAGGGCATGTTACCCCCATTTCTCCTTTACTTCAATTTGAGGGCATGTTACCCCCATTTCTCCTTTACTTCACTTCGAGGGCATGTTATCCCCATTTCCCCTTCACTTCAATTTGAGGGCATGTTACCCCCATTTCTCCTTCACTTCAATTTGAGGGCATGTTCCCCCATTTTTCCTTTACTTCACTTCGAGGGCATGTTACCCCCATTTTTCCTTTACCTCAATATGAGGGTATGTTACCCCCATTTCTCCTATACTTCAATCTGAGGGCATGTTACCCCCATTTCTCCTATACTTCACTTCAAGGGCATGTTACCCCCATTTCTCCTATACTTCAATATGAGGGTATGTTACCCCCATTTCTCCTAAACTTCAATTTGAGGATATGTTACCCCATTTCTCCTATAGGCCTACTTCAATTTGAGCGCATGTTACCCCCATTTCAATGAATTTGCTCCAAACCAAATTCTACATTCATATCTTTCTATCTGCACTAACTTGATTAATGCACCTTTCCACTATTACCTATATAGATTTACCTACAATCTCGGCAAAAAGTAAGGCGAAGTATTATTAATATTCGACTGATGACACCAGCAAGCCGTTGCACAATTACAACATAAATCATTGTCGCATAACAGTAGGAGTAAAACCTTTAACACCGTTCAGTGACGTACAAAGGAAGTAATGATCACTCATATGACAAAAAAATAATACTTGAAGTGAGACCGTATTCATTGTGGCTTAAAACAGAAGGCTTTCATGACGCAAGAGTTCATTTTTGATGATAGGTGTCACAAAGGTGACGCTTTATAGACGCTTCCTGTCATTCACTGCACACTCCAAACACGGCTCTGAACAAGCATCCCATCTGTAAAGTGCTATTATGTTTGGAATTAATGTACTACGAGGATTTTATATTGCGTTTTGAACTTTGAACACGATTTTTGCTAGTACCCACTGATACATGTATATATATAATGACTTGGAAAAATCGAAATATTTGTGAATCAACTTTCCAAATCCCATCTACACTTAAGGTTATAACCCTTACCATACCAACGTAGTCTTATTAGCCCAACATACCAATTTCGACTACAATTTCCAAAATGTCAATTTTCTAGAGTTATCTCAGCATTGACGTCTGACCTACGAAACTGGGCAAATTTATCAAACCATTAAATGCAAATAAGTAAAGCACCACAATTTTTTTTTACAAAATTATACATGGAGTTTCGGTTACAGACAAGACCATGCCTAATGATATTTCAATGTGCTATAATACATTATAATTTCCCATAATAAATCAATCCCAGACAGTAATAGACATGAAAATTTTGCATTCACAAATTTAGTGTATGTACTTTGGCTCATCTCCAAATTATTAATAAATTCACCTTTATTGAAAGGTGAAATAACTACTAGTTGTGTATGACGCAGAATTAGTCATTATCGTAAAGATATTTGAGAGAGATATTATTGTCCACTCAGTGAACAAGTGACCGTTGTTATTAGATTGATGCTAGTAGAGAATAGACTTTATGATCATGTGTAAGTGAATTATTATTGACATCATTCTTCAATAGCAACATTATTAAATCCATTGTTTCATGGTTCAACGAACTCATTATTCAGACACAATAGTAAGTGTGAAAAATAGCACCTATATTCAATATGTTAAGGAGAAAAGCACCTTTCATAGTGAAAATATATTAATTTAGAAATTTTGATAAACAGCATTCAAATTCATCAACAATATGTCATATTGTAAAAAAAATTTAGACCCCAAATTGCCTTGAACAAAATCTTGAATTGATAATGCTGACCGTATTCAAGTTATTCGATAAAAAATTTGTTAAATTTTCAAGCGATACATCCATGTTCCATGTACTTTAGTTTTACAATTTGAAACTTTCTATCTGATAAAATAATCTCTAGATCACTAGGAATAATCAAATCAATCTATTCAAAAAATATGAAAAAAAAAACTATATCTAACGATTTCATAAACTCAGCTGTAGCCATATAAGAAACAGCTTTATACATGTTACTTATTCTACCATAATAAACCAAAAATATTGCTGGCAAGTGGCAACTGTAAATAAGATGATCGTACTATGATAGTTTAAATGTAAAATTGCAACAAAACAACATTTCAAGTAAGTTACATTATTTATTTACATTTATTACCACCACATTGACTGTTTTCCGGACCCGGTAACTGTTGCGGTCTAACTTGGCAAATAGAAATTCCAAACCCATTTTCTCACCTACCTGGCCACGCCCCTGTACATGGAGGCTGTCAAGAAAATTGCAGGCTTCTCTGCAATCGTTAAAGCATCGAACATTGTTCCATTTTAAATCCTATATGATATATTCTTATAAAGGCATAGGCTTACATTGAAAGAGCACAGTTAACTCATAATATGCATCTTAATGATGAGCTTCAAATCTTATGTACCCTCCATACAGCAATTCATTTGATATAATTATTGGTTTTAGTGCGCTTACATTACTGATTTGAAGCTTGTGCCAAGTCAATATAAAAGGATATGTCTTTAAACATGAAAGTATTATATTGATTTTCTTAATATGAAGTGAGTAGAAGTATTTATTAGTATATTAGAGCTTATTTGAACTTCGAATTTAAATGTAAAAGGTCTTCAAAATACTTTTAAATTTTGGACATGTAATGTACATATGGATCGTTTTGCAAATCGTTGCTAAATTGTAGTATCACTTTGTCAGTAACTCATGGACAAATCTATTTCAAATTTGAGTACCTCAAAGTCTATTACGATTATTTTTTCCCTATGTCAGCGATTCTCAAAGGGTGCATAGGTAGACACTACTTGCTGCAATTTCGCAACTGCAGTTTATTTATCTTCTGAATCGAGATCAGCTAATATGAGAGATTTTTTCAGTATGACAAAGGAAAATCAGGCAGTGATGGAGAGTTGAGTTGATCTTTTGCCTTTATTCCTTACACCTAAATGTTACACCTAAACTTCAAAAGGCATAAAGTACACATTAACAATCACAAGATGCCCCATGTCCTGTGGGACCTGATATTTCATCCACAATTTTGCTGTTTTATTTTTAATCATGGGAGCATTTTCTATGACATTTGGGGACACTTTATTAATTTTTCAGCATGATTCATTAAATATTGAAATTATGCGATCACAAATTCATTGTTTTTAATTTTAGGGCATTCTGTAAAACTTTGGTAATATCACCAGTCAAAAAACAGTCCACTGCCGATATTGTACTTTAATTATTGAGAATTATTAGTATGATTGTATATATTTACATCTCAATTTCGGAGTATAAATTATTTAACTTCTGATTCTACTTATCTGATTCTAATATTATAGATCCTATACTGATATATCATTGTATATATATATATGGCCATGGATTTCTGTGTGTTACTATTAAAATACTCACTTTTGTTTCGCATATGAAATTAAATTTTTATTACATCAACCCTTACATTGCAATTTTTTCTAAGTTATTACGGAGCCTCTGATTGGCTGCCTATGATTAGGTGGGGTGCTATTCCATTATTCACATTTACTGGTGTTAAATTGTGTCTTTAACAAATTAACCCTACAAAAAATAAGTGGCAATTTTTTCGTGAATTCAAAACAAAGTCTCTGATTGGCTGCTCATAATATTTTTCATTAGATACTCACCATCATCATCATCTTCTTCATCTCCATACCTTTGATGATTTCTAGGGTCGTCATCATCATCCGATCGATATAATATCGGACCAGAGTCGGAATCGGAGTCAGGATCATATGGCACTTGAGCTGGCGGTGGGGGATTGTACTTCTGCTGTAAATACCTGGAACCACAAAGACAAAAAAAATTATTTTTTCCATCCAAATTTCATGCATGGCCTATTTGTCCCCTATTCATCACTTTTATCCCATTTTGCGACACTTTTTCCATTTGTCCCTTTGTTCTGAGTTAGGAGAAATATACGTTGAGGGGAAAACGGTTAAAGTAAGCATATGGAGTGAAATTTATGCTATATTCTGGTTTAGGATAGATATGATACTTTGGCGGAAGGAAAGAGCATGAGGTGAGATTCATACAATTGGGACAACTGACACCCTATTCAATTGTTCTTTTTGGTGGTCAGGTAATAATAAAATACCATTTGCAAAGTTCCTTTACTCAAATTTTGGCAAAGTAAAGTTACTGAAGCAAATTAGGGCTGGTTCACGAACCGCTGGTCGATTACGGCTTCCTCCACCATCAAGTCCATCCGAAACAAGTAACTGGCTAACTAATCCCATACTTGACATGAACTGGTAACCTGACGAGAGGCTGTGCTCCGCCATATGATTAAGCCATCTTATAGGCTTTCCTCTTACCCCCTGGATAAATATGTAAATCCTATCCAAACATATTAAAATCTACTTACGGAGGGATATTCATTTGGGTTGTTCTCTGTATTATTTCAGCACTTCCTGCAAACTTCACACCAGAATCTCCAGCACCACCTTGTGAGTCTGAAAAACAAAACAACATCGTAAAATGACAAAAAAAAAATGAACCCAGTTTACACCATAAAAGGATGGTGCATTTATGATCATCCTCTAAATGTTCTCATATACAAGTGGGTCAGGTCTCATTAAAGGTATTGTCAAATTTAATATTATTTTTAAATGTTTTCTCTATTATTAAATTTTAATATATTTTAAGTTTAGTCCACTAAAGCAGGGCTAGTCAACTATTTTTACTGAAGATTCGCATACAAAACTTCAAAAATATTTGGGTCCGCTCTTTCCAGAAATTATATTTTGGCATCCCTAATCACGCAATTCTGACCGACCGACCAATGATTATTAGCTAATCAAGATTGTTTATCAGGGCGTTAAATTTCTTTTCATATATACCGTATTTAAATCTATAAAAGTGATTTTGTAAAAAAAAAGTTCAAAAGTGGGGCTGATGACCCAAAATAAAGAATTGGGCGTGGTCTGAATCGAATACCCGCAAGGGCGGATTAGGACCATGGTCCGGCAGTTGAGTAGCTCTGCACTGGGGTAGCCAAGGTCGTGGTAGCCTGGTTGTGCCAAGTGGGGCCGATGTAGGTTGATGAAAAAAGCTTAAAAAACACTGCCAAAAAATGCCAAAGTTACATTCGACATCCATGTAATCCATGTAAGTACATGAATACCTTACTAATAACTTACTGTCAGGAAACGAAGGTCTTTTAATAAAAACTTGTGGTTTATTTGTTTGAGGAGGTGGAGGTGGAGGCTTGGAATCTGATGATGAACTTGTTTTTCTAAAGTGTTCTGGAATCTAAAATACGAAAAGAACAATGGTATATCAATTACAAGGGTGCTATGTTAAAATATATGGACAAGAAGGTTGCACATTGGTACTAGTAGGAAAAAGCATTGGTTGAACCAAGAGTTTAATAAAAAAAATAAAAAAAAAGTGTTGCCATGAATAAAACAAAACAGAAAAACTTGGGGTGACATATTGTGTCCAATAATAAAAAAAATGGCCTTTTAAGTAACTTTTTCGATCTTTGCGTACTGAAATTTTGAAATTGATTGCTCCATTAGTTGATCAGTCTATGTCAGGTAGGGGATTAGTTAGTCAATTATCTGTTTTACATTGTATAGAATTGAGGTCGGAGGAAGCCCACGCAGGGAAATCAGAGTTGTGGTGGCAAGCATATTCCTAATGCTTAGCACGATGACCTATACCGCTGAGCCTAGACAATTTACTATTAGGTCTGGTACAAATAGATATAATAAACTAAGATTGCAATTATAACCACATAGAAAACTCCACAAAGTTAAAATTGCTCACCTGGTCCTTGCTAGGTTTTGGTGGTGGTTTAGGAGGTGGTCCTCGAACTGATGGAGCAGTTGTGTTGCCAGAAGACTCATTCTGTAATATAATACAAAACTATTCAGTGACAGGTGATGCTGGCGGTCTTATGAAGCTTTCCGCAGACACATTTTATTTCGTAAACATCAGTCTAAAGTAATGACTAAAAGCCGAGCTTCCATATGGATCAGGAGTCTGAGAATTAGGCTTTCTGTGTAAAGTACCAGCTTCAAAAACTAGAAATTATACAGTCTTTATTGTTGTCTAAACTAAAACCTATCAGATACAGAATTTCACACTACATCCATACATATAAGTTTCTGCCTCGTTAGAGCTTTGTTCGAAGTCAACCAATGAAATGCCTCAGCCAAGATTCTTCCATATCATATTTAGAGCTAACACTGCCAAACTCAATCCAAACACTGAAATAAAGGTGTTCAACACAATTGTACATGCATTCTATTCCAACCACATGAAGCGCTAGTTAGACTAGATAGATGATACTTTGAATTTTAGTATTTTAAATATTTATAAAGTAGGATTTCTTACATGTGTTCTCCTTGGCATTGGTCGTTGAGCACCAGAAGTATTACTTTCAACTGGTGGTCTATAATTTTGCCTGGTTGTCAAACCAGATGCTTCGGAATTAGATCTTGGTGCTGAGAAATCCCGATATTCTTGTTGACTAGAAAAATGAAAATTGAATTAGAATGATGATATTTGAAAATGCCCTCGTCCCGGAGAACACCCAGAGCTCTTGGTTCAAGTCCTTATGCTCATCGTCTCAAGTAGAGTAAAATTAATTTGGAAGGCTAGTCAACCCAACACATAATATCCCTTAATGAAGTGGTTCCAACCGTTATACGCAAGTCATACTTTCGCTTTTGTATAGTTCAATAGCTTATAATATGTACATAAATAGGTATTTTAGTAATGGAAAAATTTTATTTCAAGCTTTCTTTGATGATGTGTTGAGACTTGAAAATGGCAAGAAAACTCAATACTTTTTGAGTTTCTGTTAAAAATTTTGACTTCAATTATCAACAATGAAAGTTTGAAATTCTGACATTAAAAAATTCAAAATTTCGACTCCGTAGAGTTTAAAATATGTCTCTGTATAATATCATATCAAAGTGATAATACTAACTTGGAAGTGCCTGAAGAATTCTGAGATTTGCCTATTGGCAGAGTAGCAGCCTTGTTTCTATCCTCTTGCGTCACACGCTGACCTTTTTTGGCCGTCGGTGGACTTCCTTGTTTTGGGTGAGAATCATTATCTTTTTGTCGAAAACCTATAACGGCGTTACTTAAATCTTGGGAAAGACGTGCGGCAAGTCCCGGAGATAATGTGGATGCCGTAGATTGAGTTTTAATGTGACCACGCCCATCGTCATCTTCGCTTTCAATATCTGAATCGTCCGATGGTGGGGGTGGGGGCTTAGACGGCAGCGGTTCATGCCTAGTTCTCGGTTTGGGTTGCGGTTTTTGTGAAACTTTAATGTTTTCGTTTGACACCCTTTTCACGCCTATCACCATGGGGCCACCTTTCGAACCCCCGGATACGACCATGACGTTGTTACCGGGTTGACCTTTGACCTGGAAATGTGGCATATTTCGTTTGTCTTCTGACATAACAATAGGGGAATTACTAGTCGCCACTTGATAGGAATGCCTGTGTGATACAGTCTGATGAGAGTTTTCAGCTTTGGATGGTAAAACGTCTGAAGGGTATTTTCTGTGATTGTATATCGCAGTATTTTTCGGGGGCTGTACAACCCTAGAGGGGTCAGTTTGGTCCACATTTTCTTGATCTGATGAATTGTCTTCCGCATATGAATATATTTTCCTATGATTTCTCCTTCCTTTATCATCAGCTGAAACAAAATGACAAAATTAAGAATAGAAGTTTTGAACGCATTTGAGTATAACACTAAATTTGTGAAAAAAATATAAAAAAAACTTCTCCAGCTATAGAAAGTACCAAAAATTTTGCTTGAATAATTTTTATTGTATAATACTGTTTTATATTATTACTATTAATATTTGTTTTATATTTGATTAGATGAAATCAGGCGATGATTTAGTTATACAGAGTGTTCATGAAGCCATGTTACAATTTCAATATTACTATGAAGTTTGTATTCAATATATCTAAACAAGGTTTGTTTAATTTGACTGTTTAATAATCAAGTTTCTACCTCATTTAATAAACCTGTAGAATTCAACAAGCTATATATGATATCGATAGTTTCTATTGCAATACAATAATCTTGCAATCACAATATGTAATAATAATTGCAATAACACTTTAAGAACCCTGTATTATAAACAAGAATTTCCATAGACTTCGGCCAATTTTTAAGTAAAAATAAATATCTTCAGTTCATATCCTTTAATAGTTACGTCTCCAATGATTTGGATCGATTCTACAATGCCTACAAAAAATAAAAATACCTAGCTATATAATAGAAGAGTAACCTATGTACATATTTATCTAGTCAAAACTGTCTGAGAATTTATTGACTGTTGTTTGAAGCTAAAAAGATGGTACTGATAAAAACTCATGAAAGCAGATAAATACTGGTAACGAAAATGAGTCAATTTCCAAAAAAAATGCCTCGGGACCCAAAAAAATATATTAAAAACCTCTAACGGAAAATTAAGTTCTCAAATTATTCGGTGTTATTTGAGCATTATAAATCCTGGTGGGTTAAGAATTTTGTAAGTAAGCAGGTAATAACATCCAGGCACTTAAGCAGTTGAGCAGGCTACACTAAACAAACAAAAAAACAGGAAATCATTGCCATGCGGAACGCAGTATTAGAATATGGATAAAGATGTTACATGCATCGACAATTTAGAAAATAAAAAAAATTCCACAATATTTCTCTCGCTACTTCTAATATGGAATTTCTAATTCCCACTTTATAAGTTATTTATTGACAGAAAACTAGGAATGGACAAAGCAGGATAATCTACTATTACTAATTCATTCTGAAACAATATTTTCTAATATGCAATATCAAATATATTTTGAATCATACAGAGTGTTCAATAGTTATATATTTGATGATTTATTCTGGAAATGGAAGTGAGTGCCGTTAGTTAAACTCGTCGAATGGCATTCCTTAAACATTTTGAAATTATTAAACTGAACAAAAAGACATCAAAAGTCAGAAAACCAGACTTTTATGACATTTGACTAGCATTCATAGATTGAATAAAAACTTTAAATGCATTAATTATGCATGATTTGACTTTTTGATATGTATCAAAAACTAGAGAGCAGTCTAGGGATACTGAAATCATTGAGATGCGAATGGCTGCAAAAAATACTCGAATTGTATAGATTCGTTGACAATAAAATTCTGATTTACTAAAAAACTGTGACAAAATAATTCATATGGTTGGCACAGCTGTTGGGCACAATTTATAAGTTTTATTTTCAAATTCAATCATGGTTATTGAATAGGGAAAGAGGTCCGATTATTCAAAAATAAACAAAAAACATAACCCCTTGGCCCTTATCAAGGAATGTTTGATAGGAGCCCTGCAGAGGGAGGAAAATATCACAACTGAGAACTTTTCACACTAAAGCAGCATAAATGACTGGTTAGAGTAGGTTAAAAAAAGTTTGTCAACGTTCATAAGGGCCTGCAGGCTCTATTTACCGTAGCTGATAGATTTAGTTTAATTTTTCCTACTACTAGTTTTGCTTTAATCGATTATTAGCGGTCGACTGTAACTTCGCTCAGAGATTATCTCCTTTATTTCTGATCATGTGACATGACCTTGCAAATTTGAGCAAATTTCTAAAAAAAAAAAAATTAACAATCAAAAAAATTCAATTCATTTCTACATACCTTCTTCATGATGAGATGCTTCATTTTCTTCTGGAATGTTGTTTGGAATTACAAAATGAGGATGATTATCCTCGTCTGTGGCGGTATGGTTTCGCATTACAATTGTATATTGGTCTCCACTTGGTGCATTTTTATGCAAGTGATCTTCACTGTCTTCAGGAATAACATTATCTGAAATTAAAATACAATAAAATATCAAACAACCAAATTAATCACAGAAAAATATTCTACAAAAAATAACCTTCTTATTATGAACAATACCAGTTAAATTGTGAAAAAACAAAACAGCCATACATAAGCTATGCTTTACAAAATATTGAAGAGAGATATAGTGTTGCTAATCTAACAATAACATTATATAATATAGAATATACCGGATTGGTGATTGGGTTCCACTAATACTCCACGCTTTATCAAATCTTCTCTGGCACTTCGAACTGAAATTTTACGTTCCAAATCTAAAAAGAAAAAGATTATAAAAAATAAATGCATTTTATAACTGAAAATGTTCTTTTTTTAAAGCCAATAAGAACCTCAATAGAGTTAGATATTTGAATATTATATTGCATATACGTCATAATGTAGTCATTGCATGGAAATCTCAAATAGCACAATAAAACAAACAGCCTTTACGTATTTTCCAATGTAATACTCATACAAATGTGACTCAATAATGCATATGAATATTTTTAGGACGATTCAGTGGACTAAATTAGATTAATTTGCATGATCGAAAGCATTCCGCATTTCACCGTGGTGATCAATATCCACACCAACAAAGGGTTTACGACATCAAGAAATGGTTGATTTTTACAGTTTGTAGAAATGAAAAGAAATCCTTTTTTATCATATTGAGAGACTCAATTGGTACTCAGATAAAATAATTTCTCAAATGAAATTATTATCAAAATAACAAATTTTAAAATCACAGCACATGATTAACTTTGAATCGATTAAAATATTCAATTAGTTTTGGAGATTGTTACTTATTTATAGCAAATGACAATGAAGTGGATTTATTCATTTAATTCCCAAAGTTTTTTTTCCAACACTTCAGTTACGTCGAATCAACTACCTTTTAGCTGTTTTGACACTGCTTCAATTAATTGTGTTAATAATCGGCATTACTACTTCTAACTACAATTCTTTATTCTCAGTAGCTTTTGGCACTTTCGTGGCCTCACATAAACTTCACTCAGAGTTTAATCTCCTTTATTTCTGAGTGAGTACACGCAAAACCTAGCTTTGAGTACATCTCTTCAAAAAAGTTCTGAACTTCACTCAGAATTCAAATCTCCTTTATTTCTGAGTGAGTACGCACGAGACCTAGCTTTGAGTAAATCCACTCAAAAAAGTTCTGAACTTCGCTCAGAATTCAAACATCCTTTATTTCTGAGTGAGTACACGCAAAACCTAGCTTTGAGTAATTCTCCTCAAAAAAATCCAGAAAATGAATTTTGAATAAATATCAAAAAAACCTACTCGTTGCGGTATTTTTAAACTTCTCACTCTTCTTCTTTCTCTTCCATCTCCAAGGTCGAAATATTTTACTCCAGTTGCTTTGAGCTTTATCTTTATTTTTCTTTGTAGTCATCATAGCTTCACTCTGTTGTTGATCACTTTTATCTGTGGCGTTACTTGAAGTTTCGTCAGCTAATAAAATGCCAGACAAGATAACAATAAGAATATCATGTTTCTAAAAAAAATATAGATAAAAATGAAATTTGAAACATGACTCTGAACTTGAGACACATTGACCACATTGCTAATAAAACGTCTTGAATGAAAAACAAAATAAAAAAAGCTTGTTATAATACTATGTAAATAGATATATGATCCAATAAATATTCTTCTAGTCCAGCTGCATTATTTATTTCACCGTTTTGCCTGCTGACTTTATTAATGCAATTCGTCGTTGTGTATATAAAAAATCTAATTTTTTTGTGTGGCCCAGCTGGATGTCTGAAGTTGATTATATGACCTACTAACAAGTAATGTTGCACACCCCTAGTATAGTCTTACCATATTGCAGTATCAGACGTAAAATTTGAGCTTAATTAATACTGTTATGAACAGTCAATTATTCTGCCAAAATGTTCTACTTCACCAGATAGTGTAATAAATTGTTTGGACTTCGACAAATCTGAAATATTATGCATACAACTGTGATTTCATGCATTTAAGTCAGCAGAGCCTTGTAGTCAATGGACTATATGTATTGCTCAAACCTTTTTACTAAGATAACAATACAAACACAAAGAAAACAGAAAATGCGGCCATCTTTCCTATTATACAATATTACCGTAATTAGAAACAAGCAATCCAAATTTTTTCTCTGATTACCAAAACTGATAGCATTCTGAACCTATCCTATATATTGACATGTGAATGGGTACCTGCCTTCCTAACTACAGAATTAAATTATGGTAGTATCAAGCCTTTCACTCACTACCAGTACAGATTAATCCTTTTGTGTCAAAAATCTCTATAAACCATTCAACCATTTCAACACTGGTCAGTTGGTAAATACACAACAAGCTCGTCAGGATTTAGTACAAAAGCACAAACCACTCAACTATATTTTCAGTTTACACAAACGTTGTAAAACTGGGTTTAGTTGTGTTCTCTCACGTCACTCAATTAAAACTACCAGTAATGGAATTTCATTTTAATGTAGATCCATTAATAATTGAATAGGAGGACGGAAAATATGTTTGATACTGAAAACCATGGATCAGACATCAGAGGTGAGGAAAATGATATCACTTTCTGTGCTGGGCCAACTATTCAACTACATAAACTCATAAACGCATTTTCAAAATATTTCTATTCTACTGCTTCTGATGTGTTTCTGTACAAAAATTCCTGAGAATAGGATTTATCCCAAGGGAGGAGGAAAACCGACAGGATGGTGTAATCATATGGTAAACCATGGCTTATCATCTGGTTAGCCGATCAGGGCACGTATGATAATAGTATAAACCAGTTAATTCTTGTATATAAATGAGCTTTGGCAATAAAGGCAATCAAAGAGAGGTCACTAACTACTCTGTGATGGTAAAGATAGGATTTACATATTTATTCTGTGAAAGAGGAAAGCTGATAATGAGGACTTAATCACATGGCGAACCACAGCCTCTTGTTCGATCACCAGACCATGTCGGGTATGGGATTAGTAAGCCAGTTGATTGTTTCAGAAGCATGGACTAGATGGTGTAAGAAGTGGAGGATGCTGTAACCGACCAGTGGTTGCGTAAACCAGACATTCGAACCCACGCAAGATAATCAGAGCAAGCGTATTCCTAACGCTAGCACGATGCGCTACACGGCCAACCATCCAGCGATCATTTTGCACAAAAATATCCCCCACTGGGTTTCAAACCTGGAATGAGCTTCTTGCACTAGTTTGCCACAAAACAAAATTGTTTATCTAGCTCTTTTTTATCGGTAGTCCTTAATTAAATTGTCTTTGGTCAACTTTAAAAATATGTCATGGCTAATATACCTGTCAAAACAAACCTATTTGAGAAATAAAAATATTGAACGACAAACTGTCTTGTACAACTTTCCCTTGCTTACCATAGTTTACATCAAATTATCCAGATTTAAATATTGACGTTTGAAACTATTACAAAATGTACTTTAAACTAAGCAGAATCTATTCTTGTCAAGAGTGCTCAAGCAGGCTCATGTGTGGTGCGAGTGTTCCGGCACTTCGGTTTCTGTTATAAGTGGTGAGTGAGCTTATTTATTAGTTTGTAAAAATAGTCACTAATTAAATTATAGTTGGTTAAACTGGTTTTTGTTTTCATAAGAAATTCATCTGATGGAAAAATAACAATTCTTGCTGGACATTAGATAGAATTATTAAAATCATAACTGTTTTTGTTTTGACCAGAACTACAGTTGTTATAAAGAGGTATTTGATGAAAGAATAATAAAGTGAAGCATAATAATGAAAATTTGTTATTCCAGTTCTAAGGTGTGGACGTGGTAAACTCTACGTAGGATAGGATTTTTTATACTTATTCAGGGCGCTGATAAGACAACTTAATCAAATGGCGTACTGTGGCATCTCGTCATGTAACCAGTCTATGTTGGGTATCAGGTAAGGGATTAGTTAGCTAGCCAGTCATTATTTATTTAAGATGCATGGAATTGATGGTGGAGGAATCACCCTACGACACCGTATACCCATCCCCTCACACAAAATTATCCCCCAAAAGATTTCGAGCCTGCGAACCCGCGCAGGATAATCAGAGGTGCGATGGCTAGCATATTTCTAACTATTAGCACAACACGCCATACCTCTGAACTGCTGTTGTGACAAACAATGAAAGCGGAAATACTGGAACAATGAGAAGAGTAATAGATGGAAAAAATTGAAAATTGACTCAAAAGTAAGGCACTCAAGTAAGAACTCGCTCAGTTGAAAAGGAGGATAGATGTTCACTCAAGACTGACGAGAGCAATACAAATAATAAGAAGAGTTCAAGTAGAAAGATCAAATACAGTTTCAAGAGGCTGAAGCTTGTCATAGATGGTAAATATTTATTTTGAGAAAAAATAAAACTGAAGTAGAACATTATCAAAGGAAATGTAACGACAAGACCAACAACTTCACAATGCAAATTCAACGAATTTATATATCTTGCCATTAGAATAAATACTAAATTAGAAACGAAAGTATAACAAGGCAAAGACAAACACTGTAATGAAACTCATATGAACACTGGAGTAGCAATCAAAAAAAATTCATTTTGTTCAACCAGACTTTCATGACTTAACATGAAACTCTATTGTAGGTGGTTGCACCGTTGCAAGGTGGTTCATATAAATTCTCTGCATAGGTTCATATAATTTCTCTGCAATAAGTAAGGTTACCGTTGCTGTGCAATAATAACTTCCCAAACTACAACTGTAACTTCCCTGCAGTTAAGGTTCACTTTACCTAACACTGCCATGGGTGTCCCCTTTCCTTATACTAATGCGATATCCTAAAAATTCCAAAACCCGGTAGATTACCGAGCAGAATTTAGAACTGCATGTATTGACTGTCCATCAGCAAATATACTCCAAAAAAAATATTGAGCTAAAATTAACAACCTCAATGCACATAAAACGGACAATGGACATGGAATTTGAAATGCAGTACACAGCCATCAATTATTTACATCTCTATTTCTATATAATATCAAACTGAGCTAAACAAGCTGATATATTGAACACAAGTACACACACTAACCAGCAACAATTAATAAATTCAAACTATCAATGTGTACCATGTAAGCACAAACCATCAAAATGTTTGCAGATTTAAATATTATGTCACCTGCAATGAACTATACATTGATGGTTTACAATGGTTTACTCAATATGGTTGCGATAGATTACTTCCCAGTAATGAATCACTGAGCATTAGCACAGTAACAAAATGACTGATCAGGTAATGCGTTCCTCGTGGTTTTATTAAACTTTCCTGTGAATGTGATGATTGTTGATGATGATGACTGTTCTATTCAAACTGTATAAAGTGAAGAATGCTATGAATTTGTAGAACCACAATTATTCAAAAGGGTTATTTTTTAAAAATATTGAATACTGGAACATTATTGCGACTATTGCATATGCAAAATGAGTTATGTTCACTATTTAGTGCATCTTCTGCATTTATTTTGTAAGTCTCAGGCTTTTAGGATCCCATCACATTAATTTCAAATTTTATTTTTCCATTATTCAAAAAAATTTGAATCGCAATAAATCTTTATAATTCAAATGAAAATTTTTGTGAGAGTCTTTGGAAATTTTTTTTTTTTTATGCTCACAATGACAGAAATGAGGGTGCGACTTTGTTATATGATCTCACTTGACACTTGTTAAACGTGATCTCAATCACCAAATCTCCCACACTAAATTGTGGTGCCGTTTTCGTATACGATTAATCTCATAAAGACATTCTCATAGAAATCAGTTCCTAACCCGAACTAAGATCAGTGAAATCACCGCTGAGCACTGAAATAAGTTTTTACATTTAACCCATCTATTTCATCTATGAATCAGATGATTATGAACAAATTCATTAGAGTTTGAAAAGATTATCCAGTCTGAAACCACTTGTTATGATACAATAAAATGTTTCAATAAGTACACGGCTAAATAACCAATTATCTGTCAAGAGCTATGATCATAAATCCTATACTAACAATATGTAGGCACTACCTTGCATGACCTTCTATAGAAATAGCAATAAAAAATGAATTCAAATAAGCAGCTTCCTCTCACCCACTTACTGAACAATCTTAGTCATCAATTGATGACAAACTATACATGGGATGTCCGGATAAATATAATAGTTGCAAGCATGATATGGCCAATAAATAACTGTCTTTTGTATACATATTCGTAAGTAAATATTAGTTGATGTGACTGGGGCTTGTAAAATCACTTACATAGGAAAATAGCTAGGTGAATGCAAGTTCCAAAAAGTGTGAGATCTTGAAAATCAAGTAAATACCAATCAAAATTCAAAGATGTGACAAAACCAAAATCGAAAAATAAATAAAGTAGTGCAAAACTTGGGTATCTATAGAGGCCTGCTTAAGTCTAGTGGGCAATTTCGAATCAGGTCCAGATTATTTTAAACACGAGCTAAAAGAGGCAAGCAATTCAGCATCGGAGAATATTCTGTAACTTGTCTAGAAAAAAATATGCATTTGTGCCTCATGGAAGATGTATTCAATAATGAGCAAATTAAGGAGTAATAACCTTTGTTTAATAACAATAAGATATGACACATCAGAACAAAATTGACGAGAATATTAATTTTTCAATGAGTTGACATCAGTCATAAAAATATCGATAAAGGGGTTCATACGTTTGCTGATTCGGTTTAGTAAGGCATTCCATTCCCAATTGGAAATCTGAGAGTATTCTATTTTTAAAAATCTAGTTACACCCAAACAGTGCTTTTTAATGGAATTTCACCAAAGAATGAGTTGTAGAATAGTATTATCAAGGTCATATTTCTAACAAAGTTGATTCTATTTCAAAATATTCTGAATATACTTTACAACAAAATTGTAACATGAGCTAGTTTTTCATGAACAAATGACAATTTCTATAAAATAAACCTATTTTATTAATTCTCCAGCCTTTTTTGAAATAAATGTAAGTTCTCATTACTTGACATAGATAGATACAATGGAAGAATTGTAAGTCAAAGATTCTGTCAATATTATTCTTTGCAAAGTCTGAAAGTGGATCTATAAATGACAGAACTGCAGAATGACTTATAACTAACTATAAATGAATAGCGCCCACCAGTACTATACGGTACATTGGCATCATACTGTTTGCCTAACAACACCTGACCTAAAATATAAATCACTTATTCCTGCTATATTTATGTAATATTTTGTTGCTGTGTCTGAGAAACAATGTTCTGTTCTTCCAAGCACAAATTCGATTCAAACTTGCATCATACCCCTACTTCTGTACTTCATTTTAAACCTACAAACCAATCATGATTCAAACCTTCAATTTAATTTGCTTTTAACTTAAATGTATAACACTTTTGATGCGCGTTTTAATAATTTATACCGGTACCTCTAGTCTATATAAAAATCAGTAAACACAAAACAGCATTGTCAGATTGTAGTTACTGAAGTATGGTTAGACTATGAAAGTTTTCCATTCCACTATTTTCTATATTCATGCGTTATTAGAATAGACTATACTTTTATTGTTATTGAATAAAAATATACCTTCCCGATGTCCGACATCATCATCCATGGAAGGTGATTCGTTCCGTGAGTTGTATTCCGCCATAACTTTGTTCCGCCACTTTTCGCGGTTTTCTTCCTCTAAACCGCCTTATAATTGAATGATCGACGTTGACTAATTGGTAATTTCCGCATGAGGTAAATTAATTAGATACAAATTTCGAGATGTAGCACTGAAAAACGGTTGTGATACGGATTTATCGCCAAAATTTTAGTAAAAACACTCAACTTTGCGAACTAATCGTAATTCCAATAGAATTATTTGGAATACAGACCCTCCCTTGTCACAAGGTGGCACTAGATTTTAAACTTGAAAGATGAATTTTGTAGATGTCAATCATTTTTTCAGATTTATATTAATTCCGGAGAAGGAAAGTAAATAATTAGACAGTTATTTGTTTTAAATACATTTCGGTCTTTTGACATACAATGAATTAAATCAAAAAAATGCACTAAAATAACCAAACATAACGAAATGCAGAAATACCTGGAAAACGAGCAAAACTTGGAAAAAAGCTTGAATAAAAACAAGTACGCACCAGTCAACGCAGCAACAAAAATATTACAAGCACAAAAAAGAGTGAAAGCGATTTGAAATTGACCAACACATTTAAATCAATTTAAAATGAGGAAACCCGACGCCAAAAAGGCTTATAGGAACAGGAGGAAATGTTTACAATCGGAAAACAGTGCAAAAAGTATATCGTCTTCATGAAACGCGCGCCGAATGGTTTCAAGCGAATGATAATGGTAATGATAATGGCGAATGATATACATTATAGAATTATATATAAATCTGTCTGAGTATGGGGGAATGGGCACAAGTGCTGAATACAACATTTGTTATGAACCTTCCCCCATGTTTTGCCTATTTTCATAATCTTCTCGTCACCTTAGTCTATGTTGCTTATTTTTTGTTCATTGTTGTAGGTAGATGAAAGATCAAAATAAAATTGTATTACATTGTATTGTAAAAAACAATTTTGCAACGAACGCATAAACGGTAAAATAATAGTGTCAAACGTTTAAACAGCGCAGTTATGAATTTAGTATCTTGTAATTTATTATTCATAAAATTATCCCAGTTTTTCGGCTGATATAAGATTAACTAAACTTTGATTTTCTAAGTTCTGTAATCCCGCCCAAAATCAGGACAGACAACAGCTATACTCTGACTCCCACTACCGGTGAATCTACATGGCTGATTAAAAAAAATTTATTTGTCACAAGACACAATAACTAACAGGAATAAGGCAAAGCTCTGCGACGTGGACGCGTTCGGCAATATTTTGCTGTTTTGTGAGTAATATGTTTCAGTTTAGGATACATTTTTTATTTAGGCGTTATGTAGATGCAGGTTTTTTTGCTATAATATATATATTTAGATAGTTTACTTTGAATATTCCGGAGTACCGGTACCGTACACAACAAAGTTGGAGAATTCTTGCTTATTGTGCTTTTGTTGTTGTTCAACCTCTGTACCACTTACCGGTAGACTACCTGGCTACAGACTTATCGCAGAACCGAAACCGGTACCGTACCGGCACGTGCTATTAATTCCAATGTTTATTTAACTGCTGAGCTGTGTTTAAATTGTTGATATCATAGTAGACTAGCCTACAGTGCACTGATTTTCCAATGAAACACTTTTTGACATAAGTTACCGTAAGTCATTTCCAATATAAAGTTTTAGATTATAGTAATTAATATTCAACCTAAAATCATGTCTGGTGTTGAACTTGACGATATTTTACAACAAGCAGAACGACTGACAGCGGATCTTGATGGTGGTAACGAGTTACCAAGAGTCCAGCGTAACCTTCAACAAATTTTGGACGCTGGACAAAGACTCTGTTCTGGAACCCCAGCAACCCATGATAATGCAGAAGTCAGGGCTTCATTGCTTCTTAGTAGACGTGGGCATGAAATTCCGCAAATTTCTGATAGACTGAGGACGTTAACATCAGCTGCACAGACCTTAGAGCCATTGGAACCAGTATGTGATACTGATATTGAAGGCTTTCTTCGAAATGAACGAGAAAATGCTATACTTGCTGTTCTAGAAGAACAAAAAAGTAAGGCTTTTCAAGCTGTTGAAAAATATTATTGGCAATCTAGAATGAGTGAGTGGGAAAAACAAAAGCAGAGTATACTTGGGAAGCTTATTGGCAGCGATGGAACTTTGAATTTCACCCAAGAATTTTCTGAAGCTGGAAGAGTAGTTGATGACTACAATACTTCTCGTTCGGTTTCTCGGAGTGCTATGGATACTTGGGAAGTTGGTTATGCACAACAAGTTTACATCTATAATGAAAAAGTATTATCTGGATCGATTCGACCAAATTTCGTAGATTTGTGTCAAATAACGGCTGAAAAAATACGAGATGAAAATATTATTTCGCTATGGAATATGGTGAAATATGTCCTGAATGCTGAAATATCTGTAGCGGACAAATCTGTCCTTGCAAGAAGATTGTCAAAAAATGTAATCTCTTCTGTCGTTGGCCAAGCTCGAAGTTATTTAGAAGACATGTACAGAGATTACATGATGAAATGTGTGCATCAGCGCCCTCATGTGGCACAACTTGGTGGACGACCAGGCACTATCAATCTTGTTAAAAGTTTTTTGAAGGTAAAGCCTCCGCATCAAGTTCATGAATACAGAAATATCGATTGGGCGATTTTGTATTTTTGTCTTCGATGCGGAGATCTCGAAGCTGCTTGTGAAGTTGCGCAATCTTTGGATGGGACTTTCCCAGAGCTTTCAGGTTGGATTAACGAGTATGCTAAAGATCGTACTTTGTCTCCTACTTCGGAAAATAAATTATTATTACAATACAAAAGATCAATTCGAAATGCTGGAAATCCATATGCAATCGCTATATTTTGTATTCTCGGTCATTGCGATTTTATGGAGTCACATACAGAAATCGCTGGAACAACTGATGACTATTTATGGGTAAAGTTATGTCAAGTTGTCGTTGAAAAGTCCTCTTCAACGCAATCCGAAGTTTTGACCTTGCTAACGCTTCAAAAACTTCTCGCTGATTATGGAGAATCCCACTTCAACGCTACTTCAAACCCTCTACTGTATTTCCAAGTATTGTTTTTGACTTACCAATTTGAAGCAGCGATTGAATTTTTGTCTCGATTTCCGAGTTTACGATGCCATGCATTGCATGTAGCACTAGCGCTTCACGAAGTAAATCTATTGGTGAAAGCAACCAATCTACATGACGGGTTGATCAGTTCCAAGCCATCTGACCAATCTCAATTCACGAATGTACAACGACTAAATTTACCAAGATTGTTAATGATGTACACTCGGAAATTTGAGTTGACTGACCCAAGAGAGGCGTTAAATTACTTGTACTTTCTCAGAGATGAGAGACATGAAAATGAGAGTCTCTTCTTGCAATGTACGAGCGAGCTGATTCGTGAAACAGGCGAATTCTCGATGCTTTTAGGCGGTTTGAATCCTGATGGTAGCCGGCGCCCTGGATTAGTGGATAGATATTGTGCTGGTGACACAAAGGAATTGATTGCAAAAGTCGCTGCAGATACGGAAGCCAAAGGTCTCTTTGAAGATGCTATCCGATTGTATGACTTATGTGGAAATTATGATAATGTTATCACGCTTCTAAATAGGCTTATGTGTCCTCTACTACCGGCTGCCGACCGTGCCCATTCTGACCGAGTTCGTATCAAAGATCTTGCTGTTTCAATTGCTCAGAGATATCGCTCACTTGCCGTTGAGCTTTCACAGGATCTGAGTTCCACGTTTTACGTTCTGCTTGACCTCCTGACCTTTTTTGACCAGTATCACCTTCGTCGTTACGACACCGCAATGGATATTATAAATCAACTTCATATCTTGCCAACTAAGCCTGAGCAAGTTCAAGACAGGGTGAGGAATTTTTCTGCGTTTTCCGAGGAAGTTCGTCAAAACATTGGGGAAATTCTGCTAGCTACGATGAACATGTTAGCATCTCAGAAAAAGGCTCTGCAAAGCAATAAAATCGTAGAAGTTGGGGCGACACGTTCTTACGCAAGTGCTTTACTGACTTTTGCTGGAATGCTTCCTTACCAGTTACCTGGAGATATCACATCAAAACTAGTGCAAATTGAGGTTGATATGATGTGAGAGGACATATTATAAGTACACTGAAATGTCCAAAATCGATTGAATATTCGAGACCATTCGAAATGGGTTGGCAAATGTATGACTTAAGAGGTATCAGAATATTTTCATTTGGATATTTGGGTATTTGACATCTGACACTATCAATTTACCATGATTTCTGCAAATTTCTCTGCTGAATAGGATATTCCACATTCAAAAATATTATCACAGAATATATGGCTGTTTTTAATTTTGGCCTGTAAGCATAAGGTATGTTGCTTGAATGCCAAACACTATCCATTTTGATCAACTTGGTACAATCACACTGATATCAAAATTTACACTGTAAACATTGACGCTAGGCAACAAATAAGTGCTAATGCTAGTCTGTGTACATTTGCTTTGTAGAATTTCCTGATATTAATTTCTCAATAGAATATCTCAAGTGGTATCTATACAATACTGTATATTTTTATTGATGAACAGGGGGTGCCACCACTCTTAGGTCTTTTGAAGCAGACAACGCTACACATCATAAAATTTTGAGAACTACTGGCCTAAGCTAATAGTTTTGTTGCTAGAAAGTTTATTTTCGAGTTCAAAGTCTGTTAAAAATAATCCTTTTTGCAGCAATGTTAACTCTGCAATCAGTTCATTTACATAACTTGTGTTTATTGTTTAGAATATGTTCCTTACCTTTGCTATGAAAAAGTATCTAGACAAGCAGGAAATCATGCACATGAAGTAATTCAATTTTTTGCATTATAATGTCTTCAATGAGTTCAAACTAAAAATTAAAATTCACATCTCTCCAGAGTGCCTTTGTTACCGATTTATTTTGGAGAATTATTGGTCGCTTTTCTATAAACAATATCTGATTTCACTGCCTTTTTTTACAGCATTATTATGCTATTTTACATTGAACAATAGATTATTATTTTGAATAATAATCGAGACTTCAATTATGTGGTATTATTAGGAGTACCTTGACAATACCGAGGAATGTATAGGAGTATATAACAATGAATGACCGATTGGATAAAATGGAAAACGTTCAAATTAAAAATATTGCTGAATTGAGAACTGAAGAATTTGACGATTCATCTGGCGATGAAATCATGACTAATCAAATTGTGGATGAAAAGTTGTTAAAATTGAATGATAAATCATCAATGGAAGAAATAGATGAAGTTTTGAAAGATTATTCTTCGTTTGATGAAAACTGCGTTCAAAATGGTGCGACGCATGACAGCGAAGTAATTTGTAAAACCATAGATGAAACTGGAAATGGCAATCCGAGTTTTGATGAAATTAACCTCAATGAAAGCGATATAATGATAAACAAAGAAAATGATACACAAAATAATTCGGAAAATGCACAAAAATTGGTACAAAAAGAAGCAATTGCATCATATTCACCTCTAAATTCAAACATTTTGTCTGAAAATAATGACGAAGACATAAAACCGAACCAAGATATTTCTAATCTGACCACTGAAGCAGAATCTCCATTTGAACCAGATTCGCAATTGAAAAATCACGAAAATGGGTCTCCTGAACAATCAGACAAAAATGACGCCAGTTCTGAGACATCGAGTGTTAAGACTGATACAGACAGCGTTGAATCGACCAATGAAATCTCAATTCTAACTTTACCGAATGAAGAATCTTTTGATTTGAATGATCCTAAAATGCATACCAAAATTATAAAATCTTGTCGAAAGTATTTCAAATCAATTAATGACTTGAAAGAATCCGTAACCAAACGAGACAATGAAATTTCAAACAGAGATTCAAGGATTTCTAAAATGAATGTAAGTATGGTAATTGTATTTTTTCGTATAATAGAAATGAACAAATTGTTACGTTAGTAATAGAGATATGGTATTTGTTTAATACGGTCCATTTTGATGAATTTTGTGCGGTGTTGCCAGCCTGAGAGCTGAACTGAAATTTGGGTGACTTTATGATTTTTTATTTTGTGTATAAACAAATTATAAAGGGAAATTATAGTTTGCAATGTACCGTAACTTTGCATTCTATTGCTTCTCCTAAAATTTTGATCTATGTTTTATTTAAAAAGCAAAATTCAATATATTTATTATATTTTATTGTATCATGTTTTTTCAAAGTCTTTCTATTTTAATATTGGCATAGAAGAGTTCTATACCGTTAAAGTATTTAAATAGCCCACCTAGTTCCTATTATGTATAGATACACGCATATATATTTAATCGAAAAAAAAATTTTTTTTGTAGAAATTATATTTCATGTCAACTTACAGGAATTAAATATTTTGTGATTGGTCCTATAATTTTTGTGGTTAATTCAATTAAATTTCCTAATAAGAACGAAAAGTATGGAGTTTCCATGTATTTTAGTCGGCCCCTCTAAAGCACTGCATCAACTGCAAATGTATGATGAATATATTATATTGACTGATATTATTCCATTGTTTCTTTCCTCACTCATGTTATTGATTCACCATAAGCCATAATTTGTACTCTCCTTATTTATGCAAATTCCAATTTATGCGATAAGCAAAAAGGATGATACGCTTAATGGAGCCATTTTTTATTATACTACTTGTTTATTTACTTTTGCTCTGAACAAGGCTCTGCACATTGCTGGAGAGAAGCTAATATAATTTGGGACGACTGGAATCCGGTTTGGTATTTATCTACCCAATTTATTACACCCTGGGTGAGGTGGTGGGCATAGGATTTGAACCCAAAATTTTAACCTACCGGTACTAATATGATGCCTAATATGATGGGCAAACTACAACCCGTTCGGGGATTCAATCAAGCCCTACAATAAGCTTGTTAGATTATAATCGTAGTAGTGTGTAGGTTGTATTTTAGGTTGCCACAGTTTTTTATGATATTGGACGTTAACAAAACTTTACGTTTTCTAGCTCCCTCGGCTAGATAGCGTGCTTTTCACATCTCTTTCTTTTGTCTCGGTCATGTGTAACTTTTTACTTCACACTTACATGGCCCGCCAGTCTAGGTGGGCAAAATTTTTAGCCCCTGGTCTAAAAACCTTGCCCACACCTGGCTAACATTTTAATAACCACTAGGTCACCACGGCGACCAATTTTTTCATTAATCAACTTTTCTTCTTATCAGAGCCACATAAAAGATCTCCAAGAAAAGGATGCAAGTCTAAACACAAAATTTCAAGGGTTACTTCAGCAGTTAGAGAAAAGCAGAGAACAATTGAAATCTCATGATACAGCTGCCAGGAATGCAATAGAAAGGTTGCGTCGTGAGAGTGATGAACAAATAAAGGGTTTGAAGGTAATTTTTAATATTGAAAAATGATTCATTTGCTTGGTGTTCTCATTTCTTAATCCTAGATTCATGGCTTGATAATAAAATAACCGAAGAATTGAATGCGGATGAAATTTTTGAGTTTACCTATTTTCCGTAATTTGCAATTTGTCATTTTTGCTGTCAAATGATGGATTTGTGTCGTTCATGATTCATGCCATTAATCATAGTTTTTTGCTTACTGGGATATTTAAATTTGGACATGAGTAATTCTGAAATGTCAATTATTTTTACATTTCATCTGTGAAAAATGAAAGTAACTGTAGGCTATTTATCGCTTTTTATTGATTTTTGAATTTCTTGGAATAGTTTCATCATTTTAACCTATTGTAGATTAAGAGTGTAACTAAAAAAAACTTTATTCAATTTCTAAAAACTACAAAAAAAAAAGAAATCATTGGCTAACTTTTCTGCATTTCAAAATCCAAACTCACTAAGTATACATTGTTGAACACGATCTAATTTAGAATCTATCCAATGTTCCGTATTGAACATTTTAGTCAGGGGGGATGAGGGGCCATGCCCATATCAAAAAAATTTGTCCCCCCCCCCTCCCCCCACGCTCTTGGTAGATTTTGCCCCCTGATTATTTTTTGAAAACTTAACCATATAGAATGTTAGATGAGGTGGACAAACTTAAGAATACAAATTTCAATGAGCAGCATTCGTTTTGCATATAATTCAATAAGCGTCCTATTATAGTGATGACTTACTCACCAAAATGTTATAATATAAGCGCTGTATAGCGTTGTAATCAGTCACTCATCAGTGTTTTCTTAATCAGTGCGTTGTTTGGAGTAAAACATCTGAAAATTTCAAATTTTTTAGGCAAAATGTTTGGCCATGCAGAAAGAAAAAGAATCCGCTGTCATGAACTATGCTCGGAGAGAAAAAGAGCTACTCGATGCGAAACGTATCGCAGAAGCCACAGATAAACGTGCGAAAGAAGCCGTACGAGAGAAAGAAAAAACAATCGTACAAATGAAAGGCATGAAAATGGATTTAGTTAAAATGAAAGGAGCGATGGAACGTCTTGATTCTGGCAACAGTCAAATAAAAAAAGAAACAGAGAAATGGAAGGAAGAAGCAAACTCTCATGTCATAAAAGTGAAGTGGGCACAAAATAAACTCAAGAGTGAAACTGATCAACACAAGTAAGGATTATTCATTTACAAAATTATAAAAATACTGATAAAGATACTGATAAGGCATTGGTGCAAGTGAGTTGAGAATAACATAATATTTTCTTGCTATATTTTTAGCAAGTATTTTTTTTTATGTTTTATTTTAATACTTTCTCATTCAAGCATTTGGGGCAGGAAGTAGTAAAGGTGAAGGGCTTACAGTTCAATATATAATACCATTCTCTGTAACGCAAATTGATAGTTATTTTGGCGTTACAATCATTTTTAGATATACTCAATGGTTTCGTGAAAAAGTCCATCAGCTAGCTACTTTGTGAAATAAATACCAGTAAACAGTAACTTATCGGTATGCAAATAAAATTAAAAAAAATAGTTTCCATGGCCTCGTGGATTCCGAATATTTGAATCTAGGTCGGAGTTATTCTGAGGAAAATACGAATTTGATATTTCTTATCAAGTCAAATTTATTCATTGCATGGTTTTGCCCTTGCTTCTTTCAAATTTAATCCTCTCGATTTTTAAACTTTGGTGTGCTTCCATGTGTTTCACATAGGATCTATGTGAGTGATGCTTGAAAGACATTATAAATGATTAATTCACTGTATAATTTTGGAATGGATCTTTCAAAAAAGAAATTTGCATCATTCAAAATTTGATATAAAACTTTGTTTATGAAATAATCGCTTCAATGCTTTGTGATCATAACTACAACTATGACAATTACGGTAACTACGGTAATCTTGAAATACAAATTTTTTGCAGCTTAATGTTCAAGTGACTGTATTCTTACATTTTTCAGTGAAACAAAGGAAAAACTGGCAAAAGCTTTAATTGAAATAAAACGTGCAAAAGAGGAAGCTGAACAAATAAGAAAGAATTGTCAGGTATTTTGTTATTTTGTGAAAACTGATATTTTTAAATCTGTTTTGTATTGACGACATATGGTACATGCATGGTAAGTAGATATATGTCATGGCCCGAAACATTATATAATGTACTGACACAGGTTTCCACGGTTTATTTTATTCCCGGAATTGGGGATTAGGCGTTATCCAGAGTGATAATTTGTGAACTTTTATGGCTGTTTTATTGTACTTTAACTACTTTTCTATTTTCCAGCATTGCTTAAAATAATGAAATCAGAACTCACTAACTAGGCAACTTATGACCAAAAATTCAACTTTTCAGTCAGAGATGAAAAAAAGTCGCCAGTCAGCAATAGTCCATATATTTTAGCATTACTCTCTTATTACTGTAATTAATCTTTTTAAATTTACAAATTACATTCAGGGAATGATAAAAACATATCAAGAATCAGAGGAAATGAAATCAAACTCGCTTGATTCAAAACTAAAGGAAAAGGAAATGTTACTTAGTCAACAGGTAATCATCATGTATTGATTTGGTAATAAGCAGCATTGTAATAACGGAATTGTAAATGTTGAAAAATTATAAATTATAAGTACTACATGATTTAAATGAAAGATAATTGGCATGTATTTCAAACCATGTATTTTATGGCCACCATATTTCACAAAAAGGTTTGCATCGAATACTTTTAATTTCTTAAAATTTGATTAAGCGTCGAAAATTTTAGAGTAATGAAACATGAATTCATCACTCCATTCTTGGCTATTTATTATTGATTTTGACGAATATAGAATACACGCTGTCATGAAATTTATCTTTATAAATCATTGATGATATATTCGATCTAAACATGCTCAAAATTGTATCAAAAACAGAAATTAAAAGTCACCTGTCATCAAAATAGCAGTCACAGTGTATTGCCAAAATAGACTCTAAAACGAATGATCATTTATACTTGATATAGCAATTGTTTTGTCATATTATAGATATAGATGTCATCATACAGCCACTTGACTATCAACACAGCATACTAGAAACAGCTACTTAAATATTTTGCATAACGATGCACTGTATAAAATGTACTTTGTGGTTGACACAAATATAACTTGTTGCAATAATAATGTGATATTTAACATTGTATGTGCGTAATAAAAATTTTACCTGACATATTTTTGAAAGGACAAAATTTTTATTCTGCCTTTTATTGAATTTTTCATCATTCAATGAGTATATATATAATTGAAGCCATATAGCAGGGGTTCTCAACATTTTGTCTGTCAAGTACCCCCCGAGTCACGAAACAATCAACGCGAACCCCCAGTAATCAGACACCGAACAAAGTTGTGATATACTGATATATTGACTAACAATTTGTTGCAACACCAATTTATGGACCATATGTAACTAAATTAAATCGACTTGTTGATATTATTGCCACTGTCATCTGCCTAACTAATGAATTCTTAAAATCTCTCCCAAGTTTCAATAAGCATAATCACTTCTCCAATGCTCGCAGCATGCTGTCTTTAGAGATTTCACAGTTTGCACGCAAAGCCATGAATTTCACATTGTTGCGTCACAATTACAACAACGCAATATCAGGGAAAATCTACGTTTCAATTGGCATCTAGTTTCAATGTGCACACAATTTCCCATGGTAGTAATGAAGGATATTAAAGAAACAGCAACATACAAAAACTCGACTGTCATCCAAGTACCCCTGGAAATTTTCTCGTGAACCCTTGGGGGTTCGCGAACCCTAGGTTGAGAACCCCTGCCATACAGTTTTGGACTCTTTAAATCGTTTTATCTAAAAAATTATGAAAATTTACTCATTCGCTCCTAATAACTTTGTGCAATACTCCTCATATCTTTCAAATGGGTTATCCTATATTTTATTCAATATTTAAGTAATGCTACTCCCTGCTCAACAAAAATAATAACCTCTAGTCTACTTGGTTTAGTTATATATGAGAACAGTTTAGAATACGGAGGAATATATCGCCCCAATTGCCATTTAATGAATGGCCTTTTTTGAAAAGGGTTTTTGGGCTTCTGTATGAATGATACCTATATTAGGAAATCATTTTTTAGTCTTTAATGCTAAACACTTTCGATCTTGAATTCTTTGTTCCAAGATTAAAAAAATAATTTTCGAACATTTATGTTTTTTTATAGGAAGCAAAAAGTGGGGAATTGGAAGGGATTCATAAACAACAAATGGATGAGTTGAGAAAACTCAAACAACAACATAAAGATGTTATGGAGAAAAATATTGTCATGCAAACTCGTGTGGATTGCTTGGAAAAGGAAAGGTTAAAAAATGAAGAAACATTAAAAAGGTAATCTTGAAATTAGAAATATGGAATAATGTCCCGAAAGCTATTTGAATGGCCCTCTTTGAACGGTTTCGGGCTGCCTATAACACTCAAACAGGTATATAAGGTAACTAAGTTAGTCTTATCTAATTATTGTGATTCAATCATCAATTTGAATAATTTGCACCTCTATTATGCAGCCCTACCATATTTATATTCTTTTTTTAAACCTTGGTTTTCTTTTCCAAATGATTTAAAATTTTAAATACATTTAGAAAAATCGAGGATATTTCAATTTGGAAATTTATTAGACGCGGGGTGGACAGATCATTTTGGTATTATGTTGATGTTCGAATTCTTTTTCTTCTTGTTTTTGTTGTTATAAAAAAATCACTTTTCTGTTTATTTACTGGTTGTTCCTGATAAAAAAAATATCAAAACTAGGGCTGTATAATAAAGGTGCGAATTATTCAAATCTTTTTGCATCTATTTTGTGAATAATAACTAGTGCAGTCAAAAAAGGCAATTTAGTGTTGTCAGAAAATAATCGTTCTTTAGCTTTCGATTCAGTCATCATTATGTAGTTGGAGTGGCCTTTTATCATCGAAAATAATACATTTCATACATTTTGATGGTTTGATGGAAATGTCTTTTTTTTTTATTAATGTTGTTTTTTATAATTCATAGCCTTATCTATTTTCGAATTGATTTTAAGATGATTGCTTTCGTTTGAAACCAACCCTATATTTCAAAAGTTGCACCATATGACAAATATATTTTACTTAGCATTTACTAAAATATCCATCTATCATCGCTTCAAGGAGTTTATTAAATTTGTGAGAGTTTATTGGTCTGTTTTTCGTCAGCAATCTTATGGAATAAGACTTGGTAAACAATTCCTTATAAGATACCTCTTCAATGTGAAGTGGATATAAAACTTTATTATCTCGCTATTTCCTGTTTCTCCTAAAAGTAACTAAGGCCTTTATTTGAGTTTTTTTTTATGATTTACAATATTATGTTTGCTTGGAACCTGTATTTACTGATACTTGTGTTGTGCATACTGTATAATATGGAGGCTATAACCACACTATTTTTTATAATAAAATGATGATCTGGCAGTTATTAATAAAAATAATCTTGAGTCTGAAATTCTATGCTGTTTTCAATTGACCACCAGAAAGCTTCAATCCATCCTACTTCAAAATTGATTCAATTAGGACGAAATGTACAAGCAGACCAGGGCCGGGGAAAATTTTTAAACGGCTTCGACTCCAGGCTTAAAAAATTTTCACTTTGACCCCAGGTTGATGGAAATTTAAATTCCGAAAGAAAATCAAATTTCGTTAATAAAATTATATAGCCTACACAAGCCTTCATCTTTATAGATTAAGAAAATGTAACTCATTTCTTCTTACAACGCTGACTTCACGGACCTAAAGCAGACTATCCAATTTCAAATATCCTGAATAGGGCAATGTGTTTAAGCAAAACATTAGACCAACTGCCCTGCGATATATACCAAATTGGGAATTTTCCTACTATTATTTTTACAAAATGCAGTTTTTAAAGACTTTTAACAAAAAATAATATCTTATTAAAGCAAAGTATATTTTTTTTTTATTTCTTTAAAATTGATATTTTTGTTTTTCAGTTATGAAGAACTTCTCAATCGTCAGAAAAAAGAGGCTTTATTAATGGGACAACAATTAAAAGATCTTCAGTCCGTTTCCACTCAACTTGAGGAAAAAGAAAAAGAAATTTCCGACATGAAAGAAACTCTGGAGAGAGAGCAGGAAAACAAGGAGAGCATGAAATCAAACGAAGAAAACTGGAAAACAAAAGAAGAAGAACTACTCGAGTTTACGTCGAGAGTGTCATCGAAAAATGCAGAACTCGCATCCGAGAGTGAAAATCTTTCTTCCAAATTGAAAACTACCTCAGATGAATTAATCGAATCAAAAAATTTATTGTCAAGTTTAGAAAATGAGTTGAAAAATGTAAAAGCAAAACTTGAAGTACAAAATCAGAATGCCAATGTGAGTATTATTTTTACCACTGTATTGATGATATTTTCTTATTTATCCTGGGGGGGAAGCCTATAATATGAGTTGCTCATATCGTGAACCACGGCCTCTCATCCAGTTGCTAGTTCATGTTTCCTAGGGAAATATTTAATCAGTTGTTTGTTTCAGATGCATGAACTTGTACTACTCCCCATTTCTTTTATAACTGTGGAACATCAGTTTTTCTTTTTTATCTTTTAATTCATTCAACAATGTTATTAGTCATTCAAATACCAATTTGTTTGAGAAAAGGTTGCACAGAAACAAGCTGAATAGAATAATTTACTAATCTGAATACATTTTAAAATGACTTTCCTCAACTATGGTCTTCTGACCATGACTTTTCAAAAGTTCATATTAAAAATGATTCTTAAAATTGAAAATTTACCATCTTAGATATATACGGTGACCATAAAAAACGGAACCCAGGCCATTTAGAACATATTTTATGGGTTCCGTTTTTTTTGGTCACTATGTATTATATGACTTATTCGAACATAATTGAATATTTTGATCGTTTTTAGCATTTTTGGTTCAACGTTTTGGTAGTGAAAGCTGGATTCAATTATAAATTATATTCAAACTCAACAAATTTGTTAAAAATGTTTCAAATTTAGCATCAAAATAATAAAGTTATTAATGGTATAAAATTAAAAAAGTTTCAAGAATTAACATACATAAGAAAATAACTGTTTTTGGATCGAAATTTTTGGTGCAATTTGGGTTGAAAACTTGATTGATCTGAGCTTTGCTGCCAATTGCATCAACTTGGAAAATTGGAAAAGTTTTGTATGACTTGGGTTCCAGAATTTAAAACTATTCATACATAAAAATCCTTATACAAACTCCATGTCTAATGCTTCACATTGTGAAAAATCATTCTCCATATTACGCTTATGACCTCGCCAAGGTCATAATACCAGTATCCTACTGAGAGGGATGCAATATTGATTTGTTATTATTGCAATCCCTCTTAGTATGGATTATCTTCACAAAGGTTCTATGGTGTGTTATATAAATATCCCTTGTGTATAATGCCTGGAAATATAGAAGATTAAAGTGCTATTGATCTGTTGTTAGAATGTGGTAATTGGTGTTTTTTCATCCCCAATGTTGCTATTTATATTATAATTTTAGACCTGCTTTTGTTTTGGATTTATAGTAGAAAAAAACATGATTGTTTATACATAGAGGTATATGTAGGAATGTTACAAAACGCGCTTTTTCGCGCCAAAAAATGTACGCACCACGTCTGCTAAGTACCGTAACGCCGTGTCAGAATACCGCTCATAAAAACGACTACGGACTGCCTGCTGTTGTTTGGAATTCCATGAAATTTGGACATAACTTAGATAAAATGCGCAACTATGATTTGGTATTTGAATTTTTTCATTAGCGCATAAATTTCCCAACATTCGGGGCTTTTAAAAATTACGCTAAAGTTATACGTACTGCAAATTAATGATATTGTCTATGGACACCAATAAAATATATATGGACGCATGTATGTCATTCCTAACTTGATACTTACCAATTTTTATGAAGTTTGTTCAATCAGAACATCGTTAATTATTACCCGCAACGAGGCACTGTCAAACTAATATGCTCAACTCCAGGGTTGATTTGCGACGATCTTCCGACGGCCTCAATGATCGTTGCCAGAATAAAATCCTAAAGTAATCTGAATTTTCTTAGATGTGACGCACATCGAAAAATTAAAGATTGATATGTGTTTTTTTTTTCATATTTATTAAAGTTCTTATTGAAAAAAGTCAATTCGCACACGTTTACGAAACGGTACAAATTAATTCAAGGCACGAGAAGTATGATCTTAGCACGCGTCTGTCAACGCGCATCAGTTATCGACTGAATGCCGACATTTTCCCTCGCAGCGATTTCTCTCGTTTTGCGTTTCACTAAGCGCGGTAAATCTCCTACGAGTTAAGGAATATTAAATGATAATTAATCGTTCATTAAGGTCGGATATGAAAAACGCTAAATCAGTTAATTGTCGCGTATGCGGGGACTTGCGTATTGGGAAAGTCGTTGCCGACCAGAGGTTATGTAAAGTTCAGAAACTTTCTCGTACATAATTAATTGAAAAGCAGCTAATATCGTTAAAAAGAATTTGTAAACTTTTTTGCATTAGGTTCTTCTATTCACAATAACTTTTCGTTCAAAATTTTTTTTCGATTACCTCCAAAAATAGCCGAGATACATTCTGTTGTTTATCGGTCTGACATTCTCGCGGTCACAGTTTTTGAGTCGGCGCAATACAATCCTTATGGAAAAAATTGGCCTATCGGGCGGTACTTAAATGCAGATATCTCCGTTAATTCTTGACCATTTTTCGCAAACTTGGTATTGTTTTCTTATTTTCACTTAGATCTATCCACTGGTGCAGTTTTTATTTAAATCGGATGAACTTTAAATTTTTTGTAACATACCTAGTATATGGGAAATTATATTTTCGATTTTGAGAAATGAACTTATCATTTAGTAGTAAAATATCATCGTTGTCAAAATGTCAACCCCGAGCTATATCTTCACCCCACTCAGGGTACAATAAATTGGGTAAGACATTGCTAAACGAGAAAATCAGACTCTTCTACGAATACCGACTCCTTACATATTGTATTTATACCTTCCTATATTCTAGGTCATGACCTCCGACCTAACCAGGAAGTTGGAAGACAAGGAAGCCACTGTTAATCATTTAACTGTACAACTTGATGAATTTAAAGATGAAATTCGAACGTTGAAAAGAAAACATAACTCAAGTATAAAAGACTTAACGAGACAATTGCATCACGCGAGAAAAAAACTTGAACCATACGAATCTGGGTCTTTTGCTGGGGGTTCTGGCCCCACTACAGAAGACGGAAGCATGGGGAGTCGAGCGAGTTCCGATACGTCACTTGATTGCGTCGGAAAATCGAACACTGTCAATAATACATCTCATAATAGCGCGATAGAATCCGCAAGTTTTTCAAGTCACTCAGCGTAAGTTAACCAATTTCTTTTCATATTATTCTTTTCGACAATGTCCATAATAGGAAAATGTTGATTTAGATTTGTTGCTTTGTATGACGTGTTTCAAATCTAGCCTCCAAGCAAGGTCCCAGACAAACCAATTAGAAAGTACTTGCTTCAAAAGGATTTACAATATTTATGCATGGGTCAAAAATACCAGCTACACTTTCTTTTATATTTTAAATACTCTCGAGTTTTATACATATTATTCCGAGGTTTGTTCTTCTGAACATGGCAGACTTGTTTTTTATTATAAATTGTTATTATGGACTTATGGTTCTTGAAGTTAGTATACCTATGGACTATTTGCTAAGTTTTGGTATTGTGTAAAATCTAATATTTTATTTACAGAAATGGAACAGACGTCCCAGAAACCATGGTTGCGACGAGTGGCGAGATAAGTACTCAAACTTTGATTGAAAGAATTGTTCGATTGCAAAGAATTCATGCAAGGAAGAATGAAAAGATTGATTTCTTACATGATCATGTGCAACAACTTGTAGATGAACTACAGAAAAAGAATAAGTATGTCAAGCAAAATCTACCTTTTACTTGAGGTCTCTAAAATTAGCAAGAGCCTATGCGTCATCTTCTATATGCTGCTTACTGAAATTAAATTATATTTTTTAGAATCATACAACACTACATTCTTCGTGAAGAGAGTGGCATGTTGATGCCACAAACCGATATGAGACATGCCACTGCTCATCCAGACCGTGGAGGGAAGATCTCACACCATCTTTCTGTAGAAATCAACAAGAAAATGCAATCGGTTTTAGAAGATACTCTAATGAAAAATATAGCTTTGAAACAAAGCATTGATGCTTTAGGGAGTGAGATAGCCAGGTTATCTAATTCTGGTAAAACTTAGTTTTTTTTGTAGAAATGTAAGTTCAAATTTATTTAATTCTGAAGCTTGACATCCTATTTTATTATAATTTTATTAGTAAATTTAGTCTCAGTAGCTCTGAGCAGTTTATTGTTCGTCCGCAACTTCGTTCAGGGATGAGTTAGTTATCTTTACTTCTGAGTGAGCGTGAGTGTGAGGAAATTCTCTCAAAAAAGTAAACCATGGAGTCTAGCTCTTTGCATTTTATGGTTGCCTGTATTTTTGCTCAAAGATGAGTTTGCTCTACTTCTGAGTGCGTGAGAGTGACCTTGCTCTTGAGGAAATTCTCTCAAAAAAGTAAACCATGAGGTCCAGCCTTTTGCATTTTATGGTTGTCTGTAATTTTGCTTAGAGATGAGCTTTCCTTACTTCTGAGTGAGTGTGAGTGACATTGCTTTGAGCAAATTTAAAAAAAAGTAATCCATTGAGTCAAATCTCGTGACATTTTTGTGGCCGCCTCTAATTTGCTCAGAGATTAGCCATCTTTACTTCTGAGTGTGAGTGTCCTTGATTTGAGAATATTGTCTCACCAAAGAGTATGCCATGGAGTCCAGAGAGAAGTCCATTTTTATTTCTGAGTGAGTTTGAGCATTGAGGAAATTCTCTCAAAAAGAGGACGCCATGGCCTTATATAGCTAATGTTCAATGCATATAGCCTACTAGACTAGAATTTTGGTCTTTTCTTGTTCTTGTTTTACATACGGTATATAAAATTACACAATTCAATTGATTAGATAATTTTTTGAGAACGAAAACAATCTAAACGTAAATTGTGTCTAAAATCGTACCCTCGTCACCTCATCTTTTCCAAGTCCTATTTGTAAACTTTTGATCAATATATGATGCACAAACAATCACCTTTTTCCTATCTCTGTTATTCCTTACAAGCGGCATTTGTAAAAAAAAGTATATCATAACACTTTTCTCATTTACAATGGTGCTAAAAGGCTTATCAGAGCCACAATCGCACCATTTTTTTAATCGATACAAACTTAGCAATATATTGACTGTAAAATAAAAATTTTGTTTTGTCAATTTTACTACATAAGTGAAAAAAGTTGTATGCAAATGGGGTGACCTAGTAGTTAATAAGATGGACTCAACCATCCTGACATTACAGGTAAAAAAAACGCAAACCCACTGAGTGTATAATGAATCGGTTTCGTTCGACCAATAGTAAGTAGCATCCTACCTAGCTATGGATGCTTGTACAGGACCTTTTACAGGGTGAAAAGGATATAAAACATGGCATAAAAACGTTTTTTTTTTTGGCAAAAACCAATAAACTTGTTTTTCATTCCAACTTTTGCTTCAATATATTACAGTATTATTACGCTATAAATTGATGAGCCCTTTTTTGAGATGACTTAAATTGCTTAATGGTTTGCCTCCGGGCCAAACTGAAATATTCTTAGTTATTATTATTATATACATATTTCAGTCAATATATTGTTTTTGCAACAATACCATTATTTAAGTTTCTTTTATCAAAATATTTATTTCATTTTTTACCTATTATTTAAAAGAAGAGGAATCATCTTTGGTTAGCCGTGCCGCATATACAGTTGTGGCTTGATAGTATGGATTTTTGTTTGCAGATGTAAGGCGTGTTTGTCTGAAATTGTCCACTTTTTCATTTTTCTGTCCTTACTTCAAGTTACTTTTATTTGACAAATACAGTTTTTAAAATATTTTGGCAAGAAAATTGATTCAAGTACTTGCCATTATTCTAACTGATAAAGATAGCCACATCAAAAATCATTATGAGGTGATGGTATGCGATACATTACAAGTTGTTTTAATTCCCAGTCTCACAACAGCATTTTGTGATTTCAATAAATGTGTTTCAAGGCACTTTCCATGATCAATTGTGCTGTTGTTAATTTTTAGTTCAATTCCGTTTTCACATCTCTGGGGTTAGGAACGTAAATTTGGGGATTCTTCTATAAATTCTTCTTCTTTATATTTTAACTGTTTTTTATTTTTAATTTAGCAAAATATATGCAATCATATATGTATAGCCCATCGTATATATGTCGTCTGTTGGTGCTGCTTGTTTCTTATTATTACTTATCTATCACTGGAAAACATGGCCAATATGTTGATGATGACATTTAGTTTTATGCACTCCATAAGAATTGAATAGCTAGTTAGCTAATAATAATGTCTGAATTTCAGAGTTTCAATTTCAGTTGACTTTTCCACATTTTAACAAGTTTGAAATGTTTGGGTTCTGTGAAACTGGATTGTGTCTAAATTTCACTCTGGATGGCGGGAATTGGACATGTTTTATGGAGCATTGTAATTGAGATGGAAAAATTTATCCAGAACAGTGATTCTCAAAACCTTTTTCCTTTGATTAATCTCAAGTCATAAAAAAATTTACCTGACTCTCCCACCTTGTTCCTTACAAATAATTTCAAAACTTGAGTTGCGGGATTGGACAGGCACACGCATACCTAAGAATAGAAGTTCAATTGCCAAGCCCAGGTGGTTGGCGAACCCCTACTTCGGAAACTCAGTCCTGAAGGCATTACTCAAGATCTTCAATTTGAATTTTTAAAATGCCAACTGTGAATATTAGATCATCAAAGTTGACAGCAACAAAATATGTATATGTAATTCTAACCCATCAATGTAACTGACTCATAAATAAGCGATACTGGGATATAATATTTTCTTTATCTGTTACTGTTATATATATATCTTTGGTTTCAAGCAATGAATATAATTTGTGTTTAAGCGATTTGCAATGTTTGTGACGATTTTTAGAACAGAGGTTGGGATTGTTTTCATGTCTCGTTTGGGAGTGAAGTATCATAGTGGATTGTGGAGTTCTTCTTATTAAAAATAGCAGAAAATTGTAGCTTATCATTAGGATGTAATAGAAATGATTGTTTTGCCTAGATATCATATTGGCGAGATGGGAAATTTGCGCACCGTGAGATATGGGGACTAATATATTTCTGGGTATTGCTCCTAAGATAGCATTAAAGGTGGAAGCCTCCTGTCTATAAATGACAGTTTTGTTATTGTTGTCGCTAGAAGTCTATTGCTTCAATTACTTCAAAAACATCTTCAAGTTCTATGGAATTCGTTTATCTCTTTGTGGAGTTTTGTTTGATGAGTCATCAGTAAATTTGCCCAACATGACGTGGGGATTCCGCGATAGCATTTCAGGGATTAGGTAGTCGGACTACTGATACTGCGGAAGACTTGATATTGCTTCGTTTCGGCCTCATTGCTCTCTTTTCTGAATCCAAGCTAGTCACAAAGCAATGGCTTCCTATCCACCTTTACGTCATTTTCAACGTAAAATTTTACATAATACCTAAATTGCTGCGACATTGTCCAAAACAAATTGAAAAAAAAACTAGGTCTATTACCAGTTCTGAAATAAACTGCAACGGTACCGGTACCCGTTGTGGAAGAGATAGAAAATGATATTTTGTGTGCGTTTGCTTAGTAGACCGATGTGCCCCTCGGTCGACCCCAATGGAAAATTTGCCTTTTGAGTGTATACGTTTATAGTATAACGTAAAGACTGTAAGCGAATAACTGATTCATACCAGACGTTGAGTGGTGGCCAATGGAGACGCCGTATGCTCGTACCGTCGTATCGGCTTCTTCTGTCTGGATAAATATAAACTTCTATCGTATAAGATTAATGTATGTGGCGATTACGTTTACAAAAGCCAATCCCAATCAATATTTGAATTGAATAAATTCTAATTCGTTTTATTTCACCCATAGTCTCCAGTTTCATCATGTTTTACATTCATTAGAATAAAATATTTTAAGTGATGTAACCAGTGCGGCAAGTTAAAAAACTCTTTGGGAAAAATATGGGTGGCTCTGAAAAGAGCCGTTTAATTTTCAAGATTTCACTTTTTCTTCTTCTTGGGTGACTTCTTCTTTTTAGTCGCCTTCTTTTTCTTCCTAGGAGACTTCTTCTTTTTAGTCGTCTTTTTCTTCTTAGGAGACTTCTTCTTCTTTTTAGTCGCCTTCTTCTTTTTCCTGGGAGACTTTTTCTTCTTTTTAGTCGCCTTCTTCTTTTTCCTAGGAGACTTCTTTTTCTTGGCCCCTTTCTTTTTCTTTGGCTTCTTCTTCTTTTTAGGTTTTGGTTTCGAAGATGCTGAAGCAGGAGCTGCCGTCGCGCCTCCTCCACCTCCGCCGCCCTCCTCTTGTGCCTTCTTGATTTTGAACGATCCGTTAGCACCGATTCCCTTCGTCTTTTTCAACGAATCATCCGCCAGCATCTTATTTAGAGTTGTGTTGAGTCTGGTGTGGCTTCCTCGTCCAAGTTCCCATTTCGAAGAAATGTACTTTTCGATCGCCTGTCGAGATGAACCACGTCGTTCTTTCATGAAGCTAACGGCTTCTCTAATCATCGTTGCATAGCTGGGATGATCTGATTTCGTTCGTGGCTTTTTCGGCTTCGTAAGGGGCTTTAACCCAGAAATCTGGGGGCCCGAACTCGCATCCATCTCCTCCATAGTCTCGGTACAAGCTCGATGTTAGTAGACCGAAAAAAACTTTTGTCAAATTTGCGCGGACGTCCACGGAACTGTAAACAAACAAAAAATAAAATGGAGATACTTTTGAAAATTTCGGCAGAGAGAGTTGTTTTTTATTTTTTAAATTCATGTAAAATTCAAATATTCTTATAAACGTTAGGCTGCTGTCTTATATTCCATATACAAGGAACGTTTCATTCTAATCGATCTCCGAAAAAATATGCAAAAAACGCCGGAGTTTTCTAAAACGCTTGAACGTTCAAAAAGTGGAACTTTTCGTTGTGAAGTATTATTCATGAAATATTTTTATCTTCCTCAAAATATTTAACTCCATTTTACAGAAAAATAATTGATCATATCCAATTGAAATTTTCAGGTATATAAAATTCGGTACATATACTTTCCGAATGCCCTAAAATATTTCCCAGGTTTTGAAGTATATATACCCGTTTTCGATGATTTATAGCAAAAACTCAGCTCCTGGAAAGAATTTTCATGCACTTTTTGTTACAATCTCTTGGAAAACAACATAAGTTAAGTTTGAAAGAAGTCATAAGTTTATAGTGTTTTAGAATCAATCCAGAATGGACACGAAGCAATCACATTTTAGTACGAAGATTCAAAATTGACCGAGTTCAAAAAATTCACCCAAAACGAAACAAATGTGCAGAAAAAAGTATTTTACCAACAGCTCAGACTGTGTATTCGGATATATATTCCGTCGTGCATGAAACAATGTACAATTGAACGAAATAATCAAAAAAACAATTAAATTGAAAATAAGATATGCAATATTTCCACCGACATTGGCGAGTGGGCGCGAAACACCATCATATCGGCGCACTGATGAGCTTCACAACATTCGTGCATGCAGTTTGCAGTAAAATATATATACTTATATTATATATAATCAGAATTGAATGTGCTTTTGTGACATCATTTATGAAAACAACCATCCTAATTCGAGGTGTGCGATTCGTTACTTATTTGGTGCAACTAGTTCATCTTTATTCATGCCATGAGAACCTAAAATACAAATATGTATAAATTCAAATAATGAACCAAATGACTGGTTGATTTAGTACAAACCAGTACGCCCAATATGAGCCCTCGAATGAATGAATGGATATAGAATATACTTTCCATATTAATTTCACGGAAAATTAAGGCAATAATACTATCTGATCATATTGCAAAATACAACCCACCGTACAGTTTCCAGACCGAAAATTAGAATAATACTTTTTTCCCGAATACATGGCTCTGCCAGCAGAGGAAGCCACAACCGACCGCGGGTCACGTGAACCACTCGACAGGGGCAATTGGACGTTGTTCAATCGTAGTAGTATATATTTACGGTTCAATACGGCAACGCAATGAATATTGGATATGTAACATATCAACTCAATAATTTGACTAGCATTGTTGTTTTTATCTAATTAAAACATAAAACTAAACCCTACTCCACGGAAAATTCAATGTTTTACAGATATCATAATTTGCTACGGTGTACTAAACTAACGATCTTCAAAACGACAAAAACATGGCTCAACAGCGTAATTGCTGATTGGCGTAGCGAGTGATTGCTGATTGGCTGCCTATCCTCGTAGTTTCCACCAATCGGATATATGTTAGCTAGCTGCTCTACGGGTGATTGACAGATTTGACTTACCATGGCGGACCTCGACGAATAAGTAATACGCAATTAACTCCATCCCGAATGCTGAGTACGTTAGTCTTCCAATTTTATCATCCATCTTATTTGAGTAAAAATTTTAGACACCCTTTGCAACTTCGGTTTCACCCATCATCATACAGGTTCATAATATGCTATTGAATTGCCATGGTTGTGGAACCTGATTACGCTAACGGACAACTTCGGTCACGAGAAGCTTGATCTTTTGCAAAATTAACGATTTGGGAACTAGATGTTTCCTGGGAGTACTATATTAGGTATACCTATATAGGAAAAAGTTTGAACTGGAACTGAAAGAAAATGCGTTGCAGGCGTACATATTAACACGATAATGAGGAGAATGTCTGTTAGCTTTGTTAGAGTCGGGCTTCCCAAAGTTGATTGACCGCGGGCAAAAATTTGAAGCGGAAGAACATTCGCGGGCCAGAAAAGAGAACGGCAAAAATGACGCGACGATACGTTTAATAAAATTTTGAAAAATAGGCTGCAAGATTGATTTTAGATACACCCAGCATCGCAGTTTATTATGTAATAAAATTGATAATCATAATAGTTAGGTGAATACCCGAGGAATAACAAGCACGACTTTCAACGAGGAATTTCCGACTGAGAGCGACTAATGAAGTTACTTGCTCATCTGGCATACGGTCCTCGTACTACTTATGGATTGTTTTGTTACACAAAAAACATCCCAATGTATATAAATATAAAAAAACGAAATGCCAGCTTCAATTTGGTACATTATATTCGCGATAATGCAGCATTCAAGTGATTATCTGTCAGTCTGGCACGCAGTTTTGATTTGTTAATGTTCATAATTGTGTTGTTAGAAAGACTGATGCTGGAAAATTCACTTTTTATACAATTAGAAATGACTTCCAAAACTTGCAGCATATATTCGTGGAAAAGTTTCCCTCCAACAAACGGGCGATTATTTTCAGCGATGTTGTGGGCTACAATTTAACTGGCCAATAACGTGGATTCACTTTCATTTCGATCATGTTCGTTTGACTTTTGTATGAATTTAACAATAAATTAAATTTTGAAATACGCTGCTCGCGCGTCAGCTAATAATAATTCGAAGAATGCTTGTCTCATCATCGCGTGTACTGTTGTATCCCTTCAGAACTGGTATAGTTTGTTGGCAAGAAGGACAAATCGTTGAAGTTTGATTATTTTCAATAAAGAAATGAGAACGCTACCATTTACCCAAAAAAACGCCTGTTTTCAGTGTCTAGTTTTCATTTTTTTAACATCTTTAAAATTTCTCAATACTGTATAGGGCTGATAACTGAAAATGCCGTATGTAATCATAATACCGGTACGTATACATAAGATATCGGTAAAATTGAATTGTTACGAATATACACGTCCCTAAACTTTGATAGTGATGTAACAATTGGTAGCATCTAGAACGCAAAAAGGTAGTTACGGTTTAAGTTGAACTATTTCACTCAAGTTCGACAGGCCATTTTAAATCGTTACGCAGGCCGTAATTGCCGCGGTTTGGGAACCCCTGCTTTAGACTAATCATTACTTGAGCTGGTTGACTACGGTTAAACTCGGTCAACTTGGATAATTTGACTGTTTTTGTGATTTGTGAAGGCGAACTGCATTGTGTGTACACGATGCATTGTCATGTCCAAAATTATGAACTTTCTGACCAACACAACATACAAGAATGGGGTGCCTTATTTTAATACTTCATAACGGGTTACTGGCATGTGCTGCTTTTCACTTTAGAAGGTTATTACCAAATTTAGGGCGTGGTATAGACATTTTGCTATTTGTGATAAAACTATTTGTAACTTATAAAAATTTGTACGTATTATGTAAGATCTTCTGCACTGTTTATTAACGCTTTCTGTATATTCAAATGCAATTACAGTATATTTAAGTGAAGAATCAAAGTGTGATGTCACAACTTAATATTAGGTTTTAAATTTGGGTGGGGAAATCACTGTTTATCAGTTATATCCCATACTGCACGTGAATCGTTTTGCTTATCTTTCTTGTTGTTGAGGTGAAATCAGGGAGAATCGATTTAATTCCCAAAGTACTCGACAATTTGCCAAGAATTTTGCTGTTTTATTTTGATTCATCAGAATGTTTTTTTAATTCCGTCTAGTCACTTTGTTCAGCGATCGCAATGCTGAGCCGGTGACAAGCAAGTGTGTCCCATACGGGCAGTCGTCGAATAACTTCGGATGCTTCCTAATCTTTGTTTCGAATGTTTTTTTCAGAATCAGAATGTTTCGATTCAAATTTTGCAGAATCTGATGAAAGAAAAAATAAACGAAGAGGCGTCTTCAATCGAAGCTGTGACAATGTCACGCTTGTTATTATCTGGATTATTATATTTTTTAAATAGAATCAAATCTTTTCTGAAATCGCTTCGAGTTGATGTTGAGTCGATTTGCTGCTATTCGAAATCCTGAAACTCATAACCCTGATTTGTCCGCACACTTCGATCTCAAAAATTTCCCAATATTTAGATAAACGAATACAATATTTAAGCATCAATAAGCGCGACGTATTAATTCTGAATACCCCCTGCTCTTGTCAAGCGCCCACAAATTCGTGGATGATCTTGGACATCATATAGAATGATAAAAGTATGATTGAGATGCTCTTTTTCAAGGGGGTTTCACACTCGCGAAGAGAACCGGACAAAGTTGAGTTTGAACGTACAAACTTGTTATTCAATATGACTGTGTAGAATGCTTGCCTGTAGGCTTGGGAACTTGATTTTTGCATAATTTCCTCAAGAATTTTAAGCTGTATCATTGTCTCTACTTGACTAAATACTGGTAATTATCAATAGTTGAGGCTTAAATGAGCAAATTGACTTTTTCAGAAGTGTGCACTGATCAGGTCGCCTTCAGCGTAATCGGTATCCAGAAAGTAGCCCTCGGCTTCGGAAAGGTTGATGACCCCTGGTGTAGACCATGTCAACAGACGTCGCATAAGATCAATTCCGATTATAATTACCCAAAGGAGTAAAGCCCCGTAAACGTCACTAATGCCATATCATGACTCCTAAAACATTTTTCGTCGAGACTGGGCTTATAACGAAACACAAATAGAATAACAACAAACAAATAGTTGTCTTGATAAAGTTTCCATGGTATGTGGTTTAATCAGACAATCTTCTCACTAACATTTCAAATAAATCTACGTTCTTTATTTCCAATAGTAAACAACAATCATTGGTCACTGATCAGAGTGAGAATGAGATTACCGTAAATTTGTTTCTTTATTAAAAATGACAACTCATTCTCCTTGTGTTTCTTTTTGATACTGTCTTTTTTCTTCTCTCATGACGTTTAGAAAATATCTGGCGCGCGTGCCACATTTCGGTTCAGGGTGTGGCAGCGTGAGGTCGTTTCTGCGCTGGTATGCTCCGGATATACGCACAATTATTTAGCCAGCGAATGTCTGGATATAACAGTGCTTTACTTGTCAACAGTGTTTTTACAAGATTATTAATGTACTGTCGCCTAAAATGTAGCGTACATTCTGTTATGAACAAAGCTTAAGTTTATAAATTTATGAATAGTCATTTTATTAGTAAGTACGTAGAATTCGAATGTACAATAATTTTCTTTGATTCAGAGTGTTTTCAGAATTCCAGTTGTGATTTTAAGTGTTATAAGATAATTATAGTTTCTGTAATTGTGCCGCAAATTTATTCAACATGTGTTTCGTTTTTATTTTGCTCGAGCACCTCGTTTCTGATTGAGAGCAGAATACCGATCTGCAAAACTATTTACGTTTGCTAGGCCATTTTGCGCTTCCTGGAACCTAAATTTTTGGCTGTTTTTCGGTGCTCACGAATTTTTCGTACTGAGATGGCGCACAACCTGAACATAGACATAGAAGTTGTGCTTGTTCGATACGAAGATGCTGCTGTGGAAATAAAGTTTTCGTTCTCAAAGATGACAGAAGTGCTGGGAGGCTACATTTGCAAATGTTTTGATTCCAACGGGACCGGTATTTCTCCAACATTTTGCCGTATTTTTTATAATCCCGTGACACAACTAATCTCTACAATGCTTTGGATGACCATTTTTGTCACGATCTTCGTGCTCACATTTATTTTCATTTCAGCATTGTGTTCAAGTTTTTTTTTAATATATACCGCGTTTGCATGTTTTTGTAACGTTATTCTTAATGGATCAAGTCTTGCTTTCTGGTCAAATTTGCTGTAAATTATTTTTGTATTATTTTTAAATTACAGGCTCCAAAGGAAAAACCTATCGACATATAGTATTGGCACGGTTGATGTTGGAGTGACGACTGATTGATGTTTGATTATAAAGCCTTATAATTTTTAATCTAATTACAGGGCTTTGCAAAGAAGGAAGATATTGTTACTGCTAGTGGACGAGTGACGATTGGTCGATGTAAATGGAAAGGTAGGTAGTTGGTCTAAAAATATTACAAAATCTAAAGTTATTATTACAATTTGATTATAGAGCATAACGTCTTATAATTTTTTTATCTGATTACAGGGCTTTGCAAAGGTAGAAGATATTGTTACTGCTGATGGTCGTGTGACGATTGATCGATGATAAATGGACAGGCGGGGGTTGCGTATTTTTTCTATTTCATGAAAAATATACCCATTGGAAGAAATGAAAAATATATTCCCATTGGAAGAAATAATTTCTTAAACTGTTAGTTCGTGTTTGTACAGTGTGTACTTTCGAATTATGACAGCGCTTAATAACAAAATTTTGCATTTTTTCATCATTGTTTAGCTTCAATTTGAACGATCGTGACGTTAATTTCTTCTACATAAACAAGGCATGATTTTGTGATTATACCAATGTAATTGTGTAAAAATACAACATCAAATAATTCTTTCTACGAACTTATTACAGCTCTTTATGTTACAACTTATTACGAACTTATTACAGCTCTTTATGTTACAATTGAAAACGCTGAAAAACAATAATATATATACGGCTATTATCTTTCTTCCGTCTTGCGCCAAAATATTTTTACGCCACTATCTTGTTGCGTGTTACAATTGTAAACGCTGACAAACAATACTATACTGCTATTATATTTACACTAAATGCTTCTTTTATATATAGAATGCATGCGAATACAAGATGAGATTTTGAAGTAACAAGAGTGCAATGCACAACTATATGGAGACCAATTTGCCCGCAATTTCTCTGAAAATCATATCTTGGACGAGTCTCGGATAGCTGCAGTTGGTGAGTTGTACTTCGATGTATCCATTCCACTGCGTGTTGTTGGGTCGTGCCGAACTGACATTAACTACTAAAGCTGGGCATTTTTCAATATTTGCCAATTTCATCACTCAGTCAGTTCGCGCCGAGTTGTCACCCACAATAATAATCATGTTCTATCAATAACTCACTAGTCACTGGGAAGAAAATAGTCAGAAGTATGTGCACCAAGATGGCGCACAACCTGATAACTCTAACCTGGTGCACATACTATGTTCAGGCTGTGCGCCATCTTGGTGCACATACTTCGTACTTGCTAAACTGGAATTAAATACTAAAGGCGGGCATTTTGAATACCTGATAACTTTTAATATTCGAGTCTAGATTACTAAGAAGATATTTAAATTTCATATTTCAACGCCATGATTGTATGCGAACTTCTATTGTAATAGGTCACCAAGACATAAATTATTGAAAACACAGAATCCATCATTCGGTCAGTTCGCCGAGTTCACAATAAGAATCGGGTTTCATCAATAACCCACTGGGAAGAAAACACACGCACTTCGTCAAATAGCCAGATATATGTGAATAGTTATTATTCTTGTAAAAAATTTCTGCATTTTTTTAAACTTATCATTCAGATTCTACCCGGAACAGCGAATCAAGGCGGAATCAATCTTACAAATCGGGATAAAGTAAGTAATTATTCAATGTATTCTTATAAAGGCGTAAAATATAGTAAAACTTTTTCAATCAATATCTTTATCGATATATTCAACGTCCAATTTTAGCTGCAATTCTGTCAAGTATATTCGCCTAGCTATAATTTGTTGGTACTCCTGAAGTATGCGTACCAAGATGGCGGTCATCGGAATGAGTATGTGTACCAGGTTGAGGTCAGGCCATAATTTAATTCCAATTTTCCTTATTTTAGTTCTATTACGAGTTCCGGAACTAGCAAAGTGACTCCCGTATTATTCGTACCTGAAATTATGGCCTAGCCCTAATCTGGTACACATACTACGTTCCGGTGTCCGGCATCTTGATTCACATACTTCGGGAGTAACATATCTAAAAGGAAATCAATATAGCTTTTTTGTGTTTGCTGCCAGTTGAAATATCACACGCTTTGGTCGGCTCTTCTGACGACTCAAAATGAGAATGACCTAAAATATTTCATAAATTTATTGTATTGAATATTATGAATTATATGTCTTCAAATCCTATTGAACACACTTGTCCCATTTTTATTTAACTCACGGCTGTCTGGTCTGGAGTCGAATGCTGTCAGTTTTCGCTAACCCAAGCGATTCTTCGTCAAAGTGTTATTCAAGCCCAAGAATGAGGTGTTTATAGTCTCATAATTGTTATTGCAGATTATGTAATTGGCGTCGCAATTTTAGCCCAGAAGTTATCAATGTTAAAATATATTTTCAAAACACCATTTCAAGGCAGCTTTTTTAAATTTCAGGTACGTTCTGGACGGGGGAAAAAGAAAATATTTATCTCGAATCAAGCAGACGTAGAATGGCAGTTTTATCTTGATAGCGAATGTTTCACAATTGTACAAACCAGTACCCATGGCACAGGCTGGTCATCTGACGTGGGTGAATATCTGGATCGGCGAAGCAAGCGCTGACCTAAAACCGGGTTACAGAGAGATAGACTGCCATCTAAAAATACGAGTAACACTCTTTAATTGGGGCACGCCTGATTTGGTGTAATATCAGTGTTAATTAATTGACTAACTAATTGGACTGAAAAATGGCATTTGAAACTTTGCCCTTGCGCTAAGTATATCTAAATCTAGCTTACTCTTTTTATGCTCTGTCACAAATTTCGTTCTGTGCCGGTATCTTAGCAGATTGTGTTATAATTTAGGCAGTTCGATTCCTTTTTTTTATTTTGAATTGATGTGTATTTAATAAATATAACCGATGAGAAAATACTTTTCATGCTGGCTCAGAGTCTGGGATTGGTTTGTCAGAGGTTTTGAATAATTGTTGTTCGGGATGAACTAGCGATCGTCGTGGTGTTGTAGAAAGGGCGTGTTTATCATGCGTATGACGTCACTAGGATTATGACGTCACCCTAACAAGCAGCGTTTTTGGGACACGTTGGCGCCGGATCCGGCCCGAAACGACGCGTCAATTTTTATCTCAGGCCGACCAATGGCCATAGATAAATCGAGTGTAATTACGGAAATTTATCTACGATCATGCTTGATCATACATGATTCGAATGAACATTTGGAAATTTCAGTTTTTCCAAGGTCTGACCCTTCAATTTTCTCCGTTTTCGTTAATTTTGGGAGTTCTATCTTCTCACAAGTCGGAGTTTCCTTCATATTCTGGATATCTGCGTGATCCAATCAATGACTACACGAAATTGATACGGGGCAGTAAGTTCGCGGGAATCAAACTATAGTCACCATGAACAAACTAGAGGTATACCTACCGCCTTTACCAACTAGGCCAAGAAGAGACGTGAGAGTAAATATCCAAGTTCTAATATTTATCATTCGTCTTAAATGACTTTATAAATTTTTTTCACAAGTTTTTTGAAATGATAGATAAATATAAGACTTTACCCTTTGTTTCTAAGTTCTGAATTGGCCTAGCTGGTAAAGGCGCTGAGGTAGACCATAAATTTGCTCACGGTGACTAAAGTTTGAATCCCGCAAATGTAACAACATCCGATTATCAAATGTGTGTCGTCACTGAAAAGGTGGCGCAAAGATCTATATAACGAAGGAGAAACTCGAGCTGTGAGACTACAGAATGGTCATGAATGATCGTGGATACATTTCAGCAATTATACTGGATTTACCTATGGCCGGCCAGAGATAAAAAAAAATATCGTCCTTTCGGCCCGGATCCAGCGCCAGCGCGCCCCATAAAATCGCGGCTAGCCAGTGTCATAACCTCGTGTCGTCATATTGTGAAATTCGCAGAAACCAGTCACATGAAGTTTTGAGACACTTCTTACACTTATGCTTCAACTCCCATTTCTTACTAACCCAGTCCCCGACAACCAATAAGCATGGAGAAACTGATATCGCTTCAATAATTTTATTCTTCTTCAAGCAAGAGAAACAAAAATCAGTTTTGAGATTAATGGGAATGCAGGGACAGATTGTTTTAAAGCGAGCAACATTGAGATATCAAGCTTTTCTGCCATGACCAGACAAGAAATGAAGAATTGTGAATTTCTGGGTGATACCTGGGCTCGGTGGCATACATATATAGAGGGTCAGAGGGCCACTGCCCCTGCCACGGGTGCCATTTGGATAAGGGCGCACAATGGGCGAAACCTCATTTTGATGAAAACCACTCAAATAACGTAGAACTATCCCAAAGCAACAAACCGTAGTTAAAATTGCAGTAAACGATCGACCAAGAGGGCGCATTTCAAACATTTCCATAGGCGCCATTTCACGCAGATACGCCACTACTGGGGCAAGCTTTAATATCCGGCAAACTCGGGTAGGAAGATGATTATATAAAAAATTAAAATACGCTGTTTATATAATCAAAATGGCACGACAATTCATTCCAATGTTCTTAAACGTACGTTTCCGGTTGTCGACTGTCCTTTGATCTTTCCAACCAGAACGCAGCTGAAATATTAAAACAGATTCAAGATAGCACAGGGCGATGTACGAAAATTACGTACTACACTACCGATGAGAAGCAGATTTGAATATTTAAAGATCGACTTGCAACTAAACTCAAAAATCCATAAGATTCGAAGGTAAACATTCAACTTGATACATCACGATAGCGATGCTCAAATATAAGGACACAAAGCCAAAATTTGGTAGCAAGAGTATGAAATCTGTCACAGTAGACCACGCCAGAAAGTGCGCAATTTTTAATTTTGTTTTAGTTAATAGAGAAAAGCGATTTTTTTCATCACAGGAACAAGAAAAAGAATTCAATATCAAACATTTACTAAATTTGACATAATCCTATAAAAAAGGACAACAAAAGAATACCAAATAAAATGCAAATGCCACAATGACTATGGAATATAACCTAAACATTTACTCAATTAGACTCATCATACAAAAAATAACAATTCGAATAAGTTATTTACATATTTTTTTTTATATTTGAGACCCGTCGGAAAGACGCTCATCTTGCTTCACAAATGAAAACGGTCTTCCTTTTCGCTCGAATAAATTCAATCACCTATTTCTGAAATACAAACAAAAAGATCGTTATAATATCGTGGTGAACAACGGCTGTGAGACCCTAGTATGAACTAAGTAGCAGTATGGAAAATTACTTTGAGCGACGCTTGCTCAAATACATGGACACGAAGACTAAAACGCTGTCGTCCGGGTATGCAATTTGTCAAAGCAGACCACAAGGTTCGCAATTTTTAATTTGACGTTATCGCAAAAAAAAGAATCCCATAAGCCTACAAAACTTTCTAAAATAAATAAAAGTAATAGCCTTCTTGCGAAAAATACAATCTTTAACTACTCAAAATTTTAAAAGAAATTGATCTGCGATGTTTTTGTAGCAAGAAAATAACAAGGAAATGAACATGAACAAGAAAACAACAACATAATAGCATGACGATCGATATAAACACTTCGTGTCCAATAATATTGAAACCAATAACAAGTAATTACCAGTCTCTATCAGTCGTCACATGGGCTAAGTCTGTATTTAATGACTGTGTTTATAAAAACTCACTTGCAGCTAACCATGCCCAGTTAGGCTGAAGATTCTTCTCCTATCCGCTCGTCTGCAAGTGAATATTACTGCAACAGAAAATTTAAGGGTAATTTAGATGTGGAAAACTTCGCAATTTCAATAGCTATAAGAGACAAGAAATAGGCATCTTGTTACGAAGGGTGAATTACTTATTTGCAAAAGACAGTTTTTTATATTACTTATTGCCTTCATTAACAAAAACACTCGCCATGGTTGACGGAAATCTTACAAGGGTATTGGTTTTACAAAATACGAAAGTTACAAAGAATGAAACGACTTTAACCTAGACTGCAGATGCGCAGTCATCAATACCAATCTAATACTTCATACTTAACTGGATAAATGTTCATCTAACCGCATACCTCCAGCTTATCCCGATTCCAACATTTCCATTTGTGGTCCAATTCCACCTCGAATCAACGATTTTAAGCCTAATATTAGTCTAACTGCATAAGTAAACATAACTGTAAAAACACAAAACTGCATGCAAGATAACGAGAAGACTGCGAATGAAACGAGATCATTTATTGACTCCCGTTAGAATAAATATTATTTGTGAAACAGCTGAAACGAAGGACTTATTGGAAGACTATTCAAAGTGTAAATTTAAATACATTTACAACGAACGTACTTTTCTCAGCACAAGAGTCCAGTAGTATGAAACCTTTATAATTATGTAATTAGAATTATGTTGAGGGGAATATAAGATAACGATACAATGACACTAACGGGATCATAAAACTTCGGTTGGCCGAGATTGTACGCTATATTGCCCGCGATTGTGCGTGCACTCATTGCTGTAAAATTTGTGTAAATAAATTAACAGTTACCTTATTAATCTTTGATCGACTCCTTTAACTACACTTCAGTGAGTCTTCGATTCAATAATTTGGCAACAATTATCACGTCAATACTATGTTATAGCCTAACTGGATTTGTATTTAGTTTATCTTTCGCTGTATCTTTCGTTTTCGTCCCACTTCGTAGACACTTGAATCAATAATTGTGGGCCTAGACTTAACTGCATTAGTATAGCTGTGAAAGACTTGGAAAAAGATAACGCTAGAATATCGATGGAAAAAACAAATTAAATAAAACGTATTCAAGCCGGCTACTTTGGCCCACGTAATTTGACATGACAAAAAAGGGTTGGATATAATAAAGAAACAAAAGGAGGCAATCTATCTATCAAAAGAATTGACCATTGAAATAATAATAAAAAATTTAAGCAAATAATATCACCTGTACTATTTTCGGAACATCCCCGCACAACCGCATCGTTGTCGAGTATTTAATTCAGCAACGATGTAGAAATTATTTACGAAATAGTCCAAACATCTCTGCAAAGTCACAACTTTCCCGGGGTCTTTGATTCGACACAAATATACATCATCTATTTCAATCTAGTGCTTTATTATGGCCTAACTGAAATCCCTAATTTAATGAATATCCATTTATCGGCAGGTTTTGTTCGCCCCAACAATTTCCGATGTCAACATTCGCACTTGTTTACATACAGTCAGTTCGCATAACACGGTCTGAAATATTTCATTTAGCTAAGATGCAATAAATATACTGAGTAAAAGCTAACACAAGCTAAAAGCAAATATAGGACAAGTCGCATATTTGGAATCTATCCAAAACGTAAATAAAGTTTCTTACCTATTCAAACTTGAATGCCTCCTTGTCGATCGCCTCCATTTGTTTACGCCATCGTCTTCGATTCAATAATCACCCACCAAGAATTATTTAGTTATATGCTAAGGCCTAACTGAAGGAATGATCGTGTCTTTCGATTTAGATTCATCGCAACAATTTCAATTCTTGTAATCTCAATCCCACTTTGTAGTCACTTGATTCAAGAAGAATTGCATGCCTAAGTTTAGTTTAACTGAATTAGTATATATATATATCTAGAAGAATTTTAGAAATTGACTGAAGATACAAACGTTGGATTATAAGACAACTGACGATACACATAAACCATAGAAAAAAATCACAAAAATAAAAGCAATGCTTACCTGACGGCGTCAAATTTGAAAAGACCGCCTGGACACAGACAAATATTGACGTGGCAAGAAAAAAAGCGTGATTATAATAAAGAAACAAACAGGATGGAGGAGAACGCAAAATGAAGATGCTTTTACATTGGTTATCATCAATCACATGACCATGCGACGCATTTTGATGAATTTTTTTTGGAAAATTGACCTAGTTTGTCCAAACCTGAGTCTGCATGAAATTTCTCTTTGTCTATCCGGAAGACGCTGAATAGATTAACCGCTGAATTAGAGGGACTGAAAGTTGAGTTCCTTGTTGAGATCTAAAGCCAAATCGGAATATCTATCAATCATTGTGATTTTAAACTACTCATTTTGATATGACTACAAATATTCGAATTCGAATAAAAATAATTTGTGTAGGCTAAGTATTACTTTTAACGTCTTTCGTCGATGAACGCTTCTTAACTTTTACGTTTGTCTGACTGAACGCATAATTATGCAAGAAATGAAATAAAAAAATATATATATACTTAAAAAAAGAATTGATAGAACGGTAGTACTTTACCGACGTTATGCTGTCGACAGACGAAATAATCACACTGATTTCCTCGTCTCAACTCGATTGTAGATTAGAATTATTCCATATTCCTCACAAATGTTTGACAAAAATATATAATTTTGTCCATCCCTTCGTTGGTTCGTATGTTGAAGTAAAATTAAGACGATATGTCGAGTCACGACAAAGGGATTCTGAGAGAAAAATTAATTTCTGTTTGCTAGATTCGACTTCTTGTTCACGACTAGATATACTATAGGTTGCCACCCCCTGATTCCCACAAACTGAAAATCTCTGAATGAGTGGTTCCGAACAATATCGTTACCCCTAATTTGAATAACAATAAGCTCGATTTCCCCTTTCATAAAAATAAAATTCATAGCGTGCAATTTATTAAATTTAATAGCAGCAATAACACAAGAATCCATAAATACAAGAACAACATCTTGATTTAATCTCAGTGAGAAGGGTGTCACTGTTTTTGCGATACTAAACCTTGGAATTTCATATCGTCGTCAATTACAGGTTTGGCTCAATATTTTGTTTTATTGGATGCCATTGCGAAGAATGGGTTGAATAATAATTGATCAAAAATGTCAATAACGTTTTGGAAAGGATGGCATATTCATGTTGGAGGCAAACAAAAAACATATGTAGTTGGTAAGTCGATTTTGAGACTTGAATTTCACGCTGAGAAATTCCGAAAGTAAAACCAGACTTTTCGTAGCTTTTCTTTGACGCAATCTCAACGGTTCAGATTTTGCACAAGAATAAACTTCATTGCAGCTGTGGTAACAATGAAGACCGCGCGTCTCTTCTAACCGTGTTACCAACTGAATTGAGATGGAACAATGCCTGGTATATGTGTTTACTTTTATTCCGGGGAGAGAAAACTGGTGGAGGTAATAATCTTGAGGCAAACCATCATGTCCATTATGTAGTTCATGTCGGCTATGGGAAACAAACTTTAGGTAACATAAATATGGAAACCTAACAAGATAATATAGTGGTTATTGTATCACGCCATTAAAAATAAATGCTAGACACAGGATGACCATTTATTTAACAAATATTACATTTGGTCGGATATGTTGAATCAGAAAAATTTATGAACTTACGTTACAATTTATTCCAACTATTACAAAGATTTTATATATTCTCGGACATTGTTTCTTACCCGCGTCATCAAAATGCTAATCAATAGCAGCCACACATTTTGGAAGGAAATAAATTCTGTTACCTAATTTCAATACGCTGCATAACAATGATAAAAATGCTTATCCTCTGCATATGCCATACACAAAAAGCGCAGCCCTAATACTAGTAGTATTGATTGCTTCAATATTAAATTAGTAATTCAAGCTTGAAATACCTGAAAAATGGTCAGATAAGGTAGTCTATTATGTCAATGTATTTCATTGATCTAAATCAGTAGTTTCCAACCTATTTAGACATTTATATGATTTGTGGAATCTCGCGACTCAAAAATGGCATGTAGTGATTTTACGACCGCACTTATGCAAATCAATCATTTTTACATAATAATTATTTCAACAGAAATTACTTCAAAGTGCGCTTGTTTGTTAGGTTTTCGAATGGTGGCATTCTCTCTTGAGCATAGCAAAATAGATGCTGCCAAGTTTTCCCGCCGTGAGTTTTCATATAAACTATTATTATGCAACAGTTTGATATTAAAGACAAAACAAATGATAAAAATTGAACTGAATTTAATAAGTTTTATCTTTTTGTTGAAGAAACAAGCGATCCAAGATGATTTTCAAATGACCCATACGTTGTGATCTAAATCAATGTTTCTGACCAGGAAAAAGTTCTTCCCGAAGGGGGTGGGGGGATTCTGGGATTTTGATGTTCTTGGGGAGGAGTAGTTTCAAAAATGTGTTTAATTAATTATTAAACCATTCAAATTGTACAAAAGTCAAGAGTGCTAAATGTGCGTAGCACTATCTAAGGATCCAATAAAGATTAAACAAATAACAACAACATAGTTATTTTGCGTAGTGAAGGAGAAATAAAGATATCCGAAATAGGCAAAGGGAGAAATTGATCGGTAAAGCTTGGAAACCACTGAATTCTAAATGTGAAAAAATTTTTTTTTTGTTAAATTGTTCTTAAAAAGAGTGACAAAGTCAAGGAAGATAATTTGGGGGTTGGATTGGTTTTAGGCATATTTCTGGTATTTGACAATTTGACAAATTTATAAGTTTCTAAAATTTAAATCATAGTTCTGCATAAATGAAAATTTTCACTGAAAAGCAATGAGGAACAATGTTGTTGAATTCGAGTGAAAATTTTGTTCTGGGGAACAGATTTGTTCAGATTGTGTCAAGTTTTAAAGTGGATTAGTAGTAGTTAGTTCCATGACAGTTATGCAACTTCACCATATAAAAAATTTTCAATAATATTTTAATAAATACCCAGAATTCGAATTGCTTAATTGGGAAAGCATAACTAACCATAAAATTTGAATAAGTAAGAGTTAACATGATGAAACACCTAGCAAAACTGAGTTGGTCATTGTTAAGAATATTGAAAACAGCTACATAATATATAAAAATGCATAAAACGATTTAGTCTTAATTGATTTAAATGTTAATATTCATTCTAATCAGAATTTTGAGGTGGTCTCGTCCCGAATAACGTTTCCACCACGGACTCATCCGCCATGGTTGAGATATCTCCGATCATATCCCGCCGTCCCTGAGCGATTGCTCGCAGCACTCTCCTCATTATTTTTCCCGAGCGAGTTTTTGGTAAACCAGGTGCATATTGGATGTATTCTGGAGTTCCGATTGGCCCAATGTCCTCTCGTACTGTGAACCAAAACAATAAATCAGATAAACCATAATTATGTACTATTAACCTAAAAACAACATCATTAAAATAATTAAGTTATTAGTTTACACATCCCTCGTTCCAACCTCATGTCCAGGGGTAAATAAAGTGGGTAAGCAAGAACACATATTGCTCAAACTTATGAAAAATAAAAATGAGAAAAAGAACTATTTTTGATACTTTTTCACATAATATATGTTATATTCACTTATCAAGCTTTGTTTCAGGGCTTTGGGTTAAGATGGCAATCCACAGGAATTCCAGCGTAATTAATTCATCGATACAGGTTGTGCGTCCTTAAACTCGTTTGCCCTAATCATTATCTTCGAACAATTTCATCTTACCTCTTAGTTTCAATTCTTTAACCACATCGTCAGTAAATTTGATTCCTTCTTTCAGAGTGACGAAGCAATAAATGCAAAATCCTTTGACGGAATGAGGTTTCCCTACAACCGCAGCCTCGGACACAGAAGCGTGTTTAATTAACGCTGATTCGACTTCTGCTGTGCTCAGTAAATGACCTGTCAATAATGTTTAAATACCGATTTTTTGTATGGCAAAATTGAATACCTCTTGCCTAGAATTTATTGGACCCTGGTCATTTAATGAAGGAAGTCTGATCAAAATAAAGAATTTTTATTTTCAATTTCAAAGGGGAGAGAGTGGTTCCAACCCCCCAAAACCAGTCACATGAGTACGTAAATGAATGGTAGCCCAATAGCAGTTTCAGGTGGAGGCCACTCGAATGATGACCACCATACTTCTTATTTTTGGTTGTCACTTCTCTAGAAACCAACTTTTGAGTTATGATTGACAAGGGAAAGCGAATTTCTCTTCTACCTGATATGTTCAACATGTCATCAATACGTCCTGTAATCCAATAATATCCGTCTTCATCTCTAGTGCAACCATCACCAGCAACATAATAACCAGGAAATTTAGAGAAGTATGTTTTTTCAAACCTAGCATGATCACCATACACTGTTCTCATAATACCAGGCCAAGGCCTTTTGAAAACCTGAAAAAAATACACATAAACTTTATTGAAGTGAGCTGTGCGATGATAAATCTACTATAAAACAAAAAAGTAAAGATAACCTAAATCTGGTTGTTACTGTGATATGAGCGAAAGTTGGAATACAGTTGTGAGCATGTGGAAGGGGATTGCTGATTAGTTGTACCCATACCAAAACTAAACTGCATACTGGAAGAAAACGGTTACAACCATAGCCGTGGAATCGGAGAAAATTCACAATCGTGTCAGACACACATTCTGGGCTGTAAAAAATTTTGAGCTTCAGAATACAGCTACAAGAAAATCATCAAATTTCCACAAGCTTTCTTTTAGAGACTGTTATTTTATGAGTTTTGGAAAGAAATTTCGACTTATCTCTTTACCATTTAAAATCTGCAATTCTGACTATGACTGCGGTGGATTCAGAATTTCGACTCAAATATGGCTAGGGTCGGCTTATCTGCGCATAACTCTGATCGCACTAGAAATTCAACTCATGCACACTTACATAAACTGTCCTGGTCACAGTTCTGGTTACAACAATATAATTACTTACCAAATATCCTTTTCCTGGTCCTTCCACTTCTTTGCCTTCATCTGTTAAAACAGCTGGTTCAACACCAAAGAAAGGGAAAGTTGCAGCACCAGGTTTGGTTGGAGTGCAACCAGGCATTGGTGTGAGGACATGGCCACCCTGCAAACAATATTCCAATAATTTTACGCATAACTTATAAGTGTACTTGGCTAGTGACGTTTGATCTAACTCAGGGATGTGCAACATTTTTTTATCGGTGTGCCATATAACCAACTCCAGACATCTAGCTGGACCAGACAATAATATTGAAATGCTCTAGCAACAAGAACCCCGTGGAAAAGCAAGAGATACGAATGCGGCTATCCCTTAGCCTTACTATCATTTTAAACATAAACTGTGGGATTAGGATTTTATGCTTGAAGGGGGGGAGGAAATCTGAGTGTGGACGAGGACCACACTAAATGGCTTGGCTGGGTTGTTTCTATACTAAAATGTAGATTCAAATATGACAGCACAGGCACTGCCCACAATTATAACTTCCAAAATGCAAAATCATTACTCATCAATAAGCTAAACTCACAGTTTCCGTTTGCCAGAAAGTATCAACAATACAGCATTGTGAATTTCCTATAACCTTATGATACCAGATCCAAGCTTCCGGATTGATTGGCTCTCCTACTGTACCGAGTACTTTGAGTGACGTCCTTTTGAACCTAAAACAATTTTGGAATAGTAAATTGATAGATTGGCTGTCTAAAACCAGAGAATGCAGAATAATAATGATGGAAGTAAATATATAAGATCTATCTTATATGTAGTATTAAATGTTGCTCAATAGTAATTGCATGTGTGGGGAGTATCACCCCTTTAGGTCTTTATGAACCCCTTTACTATAACATCAATTCAGTGAAAGAATCACCATGGTTAAACAGCTCACACACAACACATCAACAAATCAATTTATAATTCATTTTCCATACCTTTGCACTGGTTCTTCACCATATTTCATTAGTGCTCTAATTGCAGTAGGAGCAGTATAGAATTTGGAAACTTGGTATTTATCTACGATAGACCATAGCCTACTGCAATCAGGAAAGAGTGGAGTTCCTTCAAACTAAAAAAAAAAACATGAGTAATTAGAGAAACCAGCTTTAGATCATGCTTGATACTGACATATTATCATATAGGATGAGTCAGATGACCTATGCTTCATTAGGAACCAAAATCTTTATAACAGCCTAAGCAATTTCTAAAACCGTATATAAGTGATGTGGGATAGGATAGACCACATGCCATATATACTTTACCTCAAGGTAGACTAGATAACCACACGACCATGACACTCGTTATATTGGGAAAATAAAAGTTCAGGTTCAAAAGAAATACAATTCGAGCCATGAAAAGGAGGAACAGATAGTAGTCCATAATAAATTGAAAAAGATGGAATATACGACCATCACCACACCATGTAGTCTGTTATTTACGCAACAAAAATGCAAATATTGACCTAAATTTACATATAAGAGACAAATAATGATGATTCATTTGTCAGCTGTTAAATTAACTAACCATAGTTCAGTTCATCAATGACAAAATCAGTATGGAAACTACAGAATTTGTATTTCTTTACCAAGTATGTATTGTGTTTAAAAAAGCCCTTCACATTAATAAAACAAGTATTTTTGGAATTACCAAATGTTGAATGAATCAGTACCAGAAACAGTTCATCTCACAATAGCCTTACAACACTACACTTTGGTAATTTGCAGAGCAATTTATGCCATTTATGATGGTTAAATGACAAACAAACACAATAAATGTAAAAAATCTCTCTGGTGCCTGATTGGAGGAAACAGTGGGTGGTATTTACAATTATGTGTGAAAACAAGTAATAACAATAAATCTGTTGGAAACCGAAAATGAAAACAATTGGCCCATAAATTAAGTAATACAGCAATATAAATTCAGCCATAAATAGGCAAATGTGGAAACTAGTAATAAATTATTTGTAAATTAAAATATAAAAAATTAGTTCGCTAGGCGATTATCAGTCAGACAATCGTTAGGTAATTAGCATATTTATTGCAGCACCGTAAAATATATCATTTGAGTAGATTAATTGCCAATGACTACAATTTGGCCATTATTAAAATCTGTGTAGTCCAGGAAAAAGTTCATCATACTCCTCCAAGATATCCAAATATCTACCCCTAACTACATTTACACTGTGCTTTGGACACAGATTCTGAAAAAATGGGATTCAAGACACTGAGAAATTAATTCCAACAAACTCAAAACCACTTCTTTTATGTCCAATTCTAATAGCAACAAGAAGGCCTATTGGTTACGCTTCTCTTAAGTTGGACTAAAATTAAAACTGAACAACAAGAAAATGTCCTGATAACTTCAATAGGAATCTAATTAAATTACAATATCAAACAGCTTTATTTCAATGTTTTTAATAAGATATAAAAACACTGACCAGAACAGAGGTTGCACCGTTCAACAATGGCCCATATGTAATATACGTGTGTCCAGTAATCCATCCAATATCAGCAGTGCAAAAGTAGACTTCGCCAGGATGATAGTCAAATGAATATTTGTGTGTAGTCGCAGCATATAACATGTAACCAGTAACATGGTGTAGCACTCCCTGAATAGAAAATTATTTTTCTTTTATTATATAGTGGAATATAGTCACATCGATATTCATATCCTAAATTCAGAAAGTGAGATTGATGACTTAGTGAAACAACTTTTATGCTACCCAGGGATGCTAATATAAATCTCCCAATGATATAGACCAGGAGTCTTCAAACTGGGCGTCCTGACCCCCCCGATGGGTCGTAAAGGGGCTTAATGAGAGTCTGCGGTAAAAATTTTTCGACAATAACTTATGTTAAAACAAAATGTTGATCGAGAACCAGTACTGAGACCCATCAATAGAGTCAAGATTCGATATTTTGCGCAAGAATATGCAAGCATTTCGGTCTTATTAAAGGTATTGACATTGTCAATTTTATAATTTTTCAAATACTTTTTGTTGCGAAAAAATTTGGTTGTGAAGAAAAAAGTTTAAAGAACACTGTTAATCTGTTATAGATTATTGAATCTACCTCAATATTAATAAATAGAATTTTTCAAAAAAAATAAATAACATTTCGTGTACAAAAACATGATGCAATGGCGAGCAATTGGAATCAATAATGTTGGCATCCTGAGAGGTTGAAAATTTTGGGTGCAAACACCATAATTACTAGTTTCAAGCAAAGGTAAAAATAATCTCTTAAGAATTGTCAACTCAATAATTCTTCTATTTGTTTAGGTTCAATCCTCTACTCCCTATAAAAATGCTCCCATTTCTGAAGTTAATAATGAACTTTTCTACATTTCAAGTTTATTTGAAATTAATTCTCCTTACCTTAGGAGTACCCGTTGATCCGCTCGTGTATAACATAAAAAGTGATTCTTCCGATTCCATCCATTCAGGTTCACACTCAGCAGATGAATCTGCCATCAGCTCATGATACCATTTATCAACTTCAGGATTCCATGCAACCTATTAAAAATGTTTGGAAAAATAATAACAATTTAGGTTTGAATTGTAATATATTGCAGATATAAAACAAACAGCTGATTGGTCTCCAATAAAACTTGAGTGAAGATTCATCCAAAGTTTTTAGCTATTTTCACATAATTCCAACCCAAAACAGAGTAAAAAATACTTTAAATTCATTCTACACATATCAAAAATTTTCGCATATATTGTTCTAAACTCCCATTAATAATACTACCCCAACATATATATAGGAATGAAGCTTATAAGGAGAAAACACACCTCAAAAATGTCAGTCTGTGGACACAGATTACAAATATCCAGCAACAAATAAAAAAAATTAGCAATTTTCATAATTATAAAACAATATTGCCATAAATATGTATATAATAGATTTTTAAACGTCCTATAAGGGGAGGCCAAACAACATTTTGAAATTGGACTTGGAGAGGTACAACAAGTAAGTCTATTTTGAATAACTAGATAATGAAATCCATTAGGCCTACTGACCTCCATTTGATTTGTAGGTCTCTTTGCTGGTCTTTCTGTTACATCATCGCAGTAACTTTTATCTGTGACATGCTTTACTGTTATACAAGCTTTAATTTTATGATTGTGTTCAGTACATTTGTGTATGGCTTCATCCGCAATTTTTTTCAAGTCAACTAGTTTGGCACCTCGGAAACAACCATCTGAAATTTTTTTTATATATATGCATTAAACTAATCAAAAAATTAATTATTAAGTATAGTTTAAGCTATGGCTATGAATCCAGTCATATTTTATTGCTCCGCGTAATCAGAGACACAATTTTGAATTATTTTGAGTCTATTCATCCAATATCAGATTCAAGTGGGCTAATCACAGACAATATTTCTGGCCTCAATCGAAACAAATTCGAAAGTTATCAAATAACTTTTAACAGGCAATTGTAAAAAGATTGCATGTGCCGCATATTTTTCATTAAAATTTGATTTTCTTGGGTTCGGAGCTGGAACAGGAGTAATAATTTCTTCCAATCGGGGGTGGAGTTATAACAAGCAAAAACAACTGAGTTCGGCGTTGAGTTTGAATTTCCTCAAGACTCAGAAGAACTATTTTAATTGGTTTATTATGTTTGAGTAAATTGCCGATTTTGAAAGTTCTTCAGTCATCAACTATGTCAACTAGTGCAAATAATTCTATAAATTTTTCGAACTGGCTAAGTAATAAAGATTGCATCCCTTTGAATTCAAAACTGAAAAGGAATATTACTCATTAACTCAAAGCTGCCACACCCATAGCACAAGATTGCCACCAGATATATTCATTTCAACTTTCAAGGATAAATAAAGCAAAACCGGTGATAGCAAAACAATGTAATCTTCAAAATTTTACATAATTTTGCTATTACCGGTTAGGCTTTATTCATCCTCATTTCTCAACATTTACCAGTAAGTCTGCGATATATTATAATGTAAAAAATGCAAATATCACCTGCAGTAATTAGTACATCAGCTTTGGCATCTAAAATTCTACTTGATAAGGATTCAGCAGAAAATCCTGCAAACTGAAACAAAAAGGAATATCAGGATCAGGAATAAAAAAAATTACATCTAAAAATGAAATCCTCAAGATTTTTTTGTGAATATAAAGGATGAACATCTACTAAAGGCATAAGGAATAGAGAAACACAAATACTGAAAAAGCAAATTAAAAATATTAACTATTCTAAACTATTCTAAAATTGAAACGATGGAAGGAAGCAACTCAACCACAAAAAAGCACCATATTTCTCCTTGCATGATGCGCACCCATAGATAATACGCATGTGTATTTTAGCACACCCGTGGGGAGAAATTTTCAATATCTATGCATAATACGCATACAGGGTTTCCGTTCCTTTCTTGCATTGTGGGTGTTTTTTCGTGGAAGCTATCATGCATTTTGTCTGCCCTTTGTTACTGTTAGCTATATCTCCTAATTAATATGTTGTTTGATGTATTTATGATGTAATGGCCTGCCAATCATGTGATGTTATTTGACATTAAAGTATCATGCTGTTATTTGTCTCATCTATTTAAAAGCTGATGAAGCCTGATGTCAAAGATGTTCTCAGACACGGCACTTCAAAGAGAAGCCCGGGATGGTCACTGATTTCAGTAACACATAGTGATTTTTGACCCTAAAGTTTTGCTGATTCGACGGGAAGGAGAGAAACGACAGATGTCAGCTGTATTTATGTTTTTTTTTCTGACACTGGAATTAACGAATTGATTAAATCTCTTTCTAGTTTTAGTAACATTAAATTTTGTTCGATTGGGTATGCTTCTACCAAAACAAGCATGATCTGATACTAATAGACTTTGCTAAATAAATTAAAACATATAAATATGTAAGATTAATATGTAAGATTTATTACCCAATTAAGCATAAAATAGGGATTAATATTTTTTGCGATGTTTCCTATGTCAATGCATAATACGCAAACCCCTATTTTTGAACTTGAAATTTGGCCTTGAAGGTGCATGCATACGCGGAGAAATACGGTACCTCATGAGAGTGCATAAAACACTTAAAAACTGTCTCAATAAACACTCCGAATGCATGGGAATACGCACATAAGTCATCAACATTGGATGGGAACCATATATCGCAGTCGTTATGTGGCAAACTGTCAATAAATGGTTTAGATTGGTAAATTTTCATACATAGAGCACACTGGGCGCAACCGGTACTGGTTTTAAGTTTGTGGAATAAAACACAAAGTCTGATCCCTACATCATGCGCGCAATTGATTTTTGAAAAAAAAAATGTTAAGTGCGCCTTGTGGTTCATAAAATACGGTAAATAGAACAAGAAATGTTATCTCACCACAATGGAATGAATGAATCCAAGTCTTGCACAAGCGAGCATTGCTACAACAAGCTCCAAAATCATAGGTAAATAAATTGCAACTCTGTCTCCTTTTTTGACACCAAGAGATTTCAGTATATTTGAAAACTTGCAGACCTGTATGGTGGAAGTTGGTGATTGGAGAATAATTACTGGTATAAATGGAATATCGGAACATCATTCTAGAATGGTTCAGCCAGTTAGTCGCTTAGCGAGCAACTTTGCTTTGAGCACAGAAAACTCTGAAACTATTTTCTTTATAGTTAGAGGACAATTTTCACTGTTTGATACACAATAAATGCATTTGCGACGTCCAGGGGTTAACCTTATATACAAACATACAAAGTGTTGAGGTTCAGCTTATTATCTCAATTTCAACTTATTTAAAGAAAACTTCTGCAGACTTAGATTATTAGTCAAGGCAAATGTTGGGTTATTTATGTGTTCAAATTTCACAACAGCCTTCATTGATTTTTTCAGTATTAATGATCAAGTGATATAAGTCCAATGACCACAAAATTAGTTGTGATAGCGAACTGGCTGAACGACCCTACATGGGTAGATAAATCATTATTTTGGAATTGAATATTAATGAGTTTCTTATCATATCTGGTAAATTGCATTTAATCTCAACTCATTTAAATATATTTTCAGGAAAGATAAATTTTCCTCTGATGGAAGTACAAAACTTCCAATATATCTATAATTCCTAATTAACTTATTCTATTTCATCAGAAGCATGAATAATTGAAAACCCTCTAACTCATCTATCACCAGTAAAAAAATCAATACAAAGATCAAACACTTCAAACTTGAGATCAATAATAAAATCTTTACTGATTAAATTAACATTCACCTCTTCAAGAAGTCGACTATAGGTAATGGTGGTACAGTCCATAGGATCGTTTCCCTCCCTGTGTGAAATATTAAAAATTCAGTAAGACGAAAAGATAGGTATTTTCAAATCCAAAATGATTAGCAAAATTTAAATCAATATTCTTCAAAGAACAAATTCAAAATAAGTAGACTGTAACACTTACATTGATTTAGAAAATTGTGCTTTTACTAGACACTGAGAGTCCCAAAAACAAATTTTACAAAATATACATATACTTTATAAATTTTTTTTGCTTTTGTCAATAAACTAAAAAAAATGATAACAACATAAGACCATCCCAAATTTTAGAATTCCTAATATGATTATTTTCATAGAATCTTATATAGTAATCATGATTTGTTCACTAAATTCAATTGTTCAAGTCATAATACATTTTTTTTACCAATAAAATGCAATAACGTCTCCTTTTCCATCCTTAACGTGTTTATCGAGACAATTATAACAAATATTAGTGACAGCTCCCTCCATCCATTTAATATAAATTGGGCCATTTTTTATGTTGAAATTATATTCAAGAAATTTCCCTGAAAAATTAAAATTCATTAATTACAGACATACATATAAATAAACATTTTTTTTATAGTTATCGTACTCTCGTTATCTATATTTTCCTTTAACCTGAAAATTAAAATAGACTTCAAATCCTATAAAGTCTTATAAACGAATCGTGTCTTACCTGACACTGGTGACTTGAAGTAGAATTGCTTAGCAATATCAGACCAGAATTTCTCAGGATCATCCAAACTTAATTTGTGCATCTTTCGATATGTTTCCATGTCTTTCACATGAGCTTCTTTTTGAACCCTCTCACTTGGCTCATACGTTTTCTCTGTATCATCACTCATGGCGGATTTTTTGCTCTGGTACTGCCTGGGACAGACTTAACACTGATAATATGCAATTATGTAAAATTAATATGTGAAAAGAAGAAGATATATTTTTAATAATGTAGATAACTCAAGTTATGCTTCTATGTAGGTGACGGCTGACTTCGATAACCTTTGGCTGTAGTATCGCCCTTTCACAGTCTATATCATTATCAACTGTTTTGGGGTCTCGTGTAGTTTCGTACCTAACGTACTTCTAGTAGGCGTAGCATAAATTTTTTTTGACATGCCAATCCTAACCCTCACCTGACTACGCAATCCAAAAATTACGTCACTACGACGTCACAATCACCTCATAGAGCTTGCCAAATACTCGTACGATCGCCCGAAATGGCATCGGCGCCGACGATAAAGAACTGACTAACGTCAGCGATCTCTCTCCTATCGGGATCGTTGCGACGAGAAAACGAGAGAAATGGCTGTTCGATTTCGGATTCTCGTTTGCGCGTCTTGGATGACAGTTTGCATAATTTGAAGGGCTCTATTACGTCACTGTGACGTCTTAGTGACGTAACTAAGTTATATGAAATTTACAGTTTCAACTTATGTTTAAACAGCAAAACTTGTTGAGATTGGAATTACAGAATTCTGGAATTATAGGAATATCTGCATATTCATCAGACTGTCTCGTAAAGGCAGAAAGCTGCAAAGGACGGCTGGACATGTTTGCAATCACTCAGTCACTGATATGATTGAAACCTTTGACGCAGTGGTAATGACCAAAGTGACCCCAGCCCACACTCGTTCAGCCCACACTCAGCCTGACGTCAACGAGTTAACTAATTATTTTACTGGCTTAATAAACGTTATTACATAAAAACTTGGTGGCTCTGACAATATGTTTTAATCCAGTTAATACTTTTGGATGAGCAAACTCGCACCACTTTTTTTTTTTGCCAAATTTAATTCCAGAGCCAATATGGAATTATTTAATTATGTTTTTGAAGCCAATTAAATTTTCAGTTTTTGTTTTATATAATTGTATTGCGTTCCAATTACGGTAATCGAAGAAAATTAAAACAGTTGTATAAACAATTATTAATACATATCAAACCTAGTGATGATAATCCTTTTTTCGTCATATACAGATATATCAGTTTGTATTGAAGATTGTCCATATTTCGTCATAAATATAGCAATATCAATGTACATATATAATTAATTATTTTAAATTAGCATGAAAAAAGAGAAGGTTTCGGAAAATTAGACAGAAAATTCAAAAACCCATCATGCTACTAGATTTTCATTTAATCTGCCATGTTATGCAATCTTTTATATAGTCAAACCTCCTAAATCAAGACAATCTCAATTTCTTCAACTCATTACTGCATTATCGATTTTTGTAGTAGGCCTACATCATCAACAATTTCGTCAAATAATATTCTTTGCCTATCAAAATCTGACATTAATCTGATTACACCCAGGAGTTTGCATTTAAAAATAGCTCGCAAGTTACATTGCATTTTGGAATACATCATCATATTTGACACTATTCCTGAACTCCCATATGGCTGATTTTTTACATTGAATGATTAATGATACCACTTCACTATGAATATTATTAGCAATAATTACCGTATGTCACAATTGAATCGCACTCGCAAAATCGAACCACTTCTTTCTATACCGGTACCTTTATTTTTTTTTTACATCTATCAAAAACATTGGCATAATATGTTTAATATATTAACATATTTGTTATCATTCCTATGCCTTTCTAAATTAAGTCTGTGTTTTAACCCCCTTTTAATTTTTTCTTTCCCCCTTGTTACATTACCTTTCAATCTAAAATCTTAGTAAATCTACTATGATAGTACGAATTACTAAGATCAAAAAAGGCCAACGACAACCAACAACAGAAATGGCGCGCAGAGGATTTATTTTCTGCTTTTTAACGACACCCAGCGTTAGGAACGTAGAAATACCGTTAGCAGTGGAAGAACGGAACGAACTTCAAAATGTTTGTTTTTTTCATGGTGTTTTGTTTTATTCCCTATATGCCGTAAAAGTACGATCTGAAAGTTTTGCGTATTTTCTTTTTGTTTATTTTTTGGGTGAGCGAACACGTACTACCGGTACTTCTTTTATCAAAACCTTTCCATCTAAAATCTGTACGCTTCAAACCTTACTCGAGGTTTTGTTCGCTCTACCGATTCTATAATCAGTTACTTTTATTTTTATCTATTATTATTGTCTATTGCTGATTATGAAGTCGAAATAAACTTATACTTATACAAGTCTCGTTTGCGTAGCTTTGCGTTTCCTTTTCGCATAATTAGGTTTTTCTCAGTCCTTTTTAATATGTGTGTATCACGGAGTTTTCAAAATATACTACGAGTTCCATCCATCTTATTTATACAAAATAAATTTTTACTTCGCATTTTCGTTTATCCTTTACTCGTCGCCGACGGTATTTCATTCCTTCCCACCAGAACAACGAAAAACACATAATACTACTATTCGTCGGATAGTCAGAATTGACAAAATTTTCTTGCCCTCACGAGTAACAAGTACTGTGTTTGACATGGCTGGACTAACATTACCCGAACACAATATTCTTTATTTTATATATTTATTTTATGCTGTATACACTCGAGATATACATTCCAAAAAGAGGAACGAAAGTAAAAATAGAAAAACAAAAATCACAATTAGGCAGAATTTATGCAGGTAGTGAATTTTAATGGAATCAGTTTTGGCATTTTACCAACATATTTTGAGTAACAATGAGAAAATTAAATTCAAGCCATGTATAATATACACCAATTCAATATCACATATTTCATCACACTTTGAATAGAAATTTCGAGGTTTTATTTTCGTCTTATAGTTTGGTATGAGGTACAAAATAATTTACAATTAGCGAATTTTTGAAACTCATTATACAGATAATGAATGCACAATGGATACGAAGCTAAGGGTACAATATATGCATTTTATACAAACTGTGGATATCAATATTTACCAAAGTCTTTAACGTTACTTTAATGCAAGGTAAAATCAAATTATAATAAATCAGTCGAAATCATCATATATATCTTTAAATTAACTACAACTCGAAAATATATATACAGTAAATATGAAATGAAAGGAACAATTTCGATATATTTAAACATTATAGATTAATAACAAATGGAACTCTTTGTTTCTGAATATTTTGAAATTAAAAACTTTACATTAAAAAGAAAAATATTAATGTTGACAATAATGGAATGCTGAATATTAAAAGGAATGAATATGCAAATAGGCATTTGACAAATATCTATCATACTGAGAAAACAGATTATTATTGGTGTACCTACAGTAATATTTCACATTAGCAAAATGGTAGTATACATGTGAGAGAAAATAGAGCATCTGTGTCAATATGCACCGACATTACACCTTCTTTGTACCGTAGTAAACTTTAAAATTTATGCTGTCTGTAATATACAGTTACAATCGCATTTATAGCATCATATATGATTAATGCAAAGTTAAAAAGTAGACAGTCGAATCTAGGTTAGAAATATTCGGTCAATCACGATCAAATCACTCCTTGGTCCATGGACAAATTTTCTTTGGATAGTCATATGTTCATTTTAATTATAGGCAAATGATGAAGAAGACAATTGTTTTTCATTAGCATAAGCACATTTTCGTATAGCATACATGAAACAATTCCGAACCGTCATAGTTAATCTTACTATTCAAAAATGACAATCATTACAAGGTTTTCATTCTAACATGAAGTGTGTACCAGTCCTGGATTGAAATAGTACTTCTATGTTTCAACCTTGGAAGTAATGTCAATTAGGAAGTACAAAAGCCTCAATGTTATGATCAAGCTTTATACAATTAGTTTATTCCTCATTACCTTTTAATACAACTTGATGGTTCATTCATTGGTATGTTTGGCATATGGCATGTTTCAATCAATCCTCCATTGTCACACTATAGTGACTAATATAATGAACTGTATTACACTATCAAACATTACAATTATATATAATGATGTATAAAATGATAAAAATAGAATGCTCCAATTTTGACCACTGGTTGGGCATGTCTATCTGTACATATGGTGTCAATAAATAAACTGTCTATATTTTTTATACTCACTGAATGGGACATAACTTTATATAAGATGAAGCATATCACTCATGCAATAAGCAATTGCTTGTACCAGGAAGTTATAACTGCACAATTTACCAACTTAAATATAAACATAAAATAGTTAAGTGAACTTGATTATTACTGCATAATTAGTATTGCACTTATAGTTTAATTATGTCTTTTTATAAATTTTACATAACAATTAAAAGATGGGTGAATTATGCCACCCTAATCTCATTTGCATTGTCCATACAGAGATTCACAGCGGTGGAAGGTTTAGCAGATAAGTCGAGGGACAATACTTGACTTGTTTCCATCGTAGTTGCACTGTTGTTCACGAAATCCGATGACACAGTGAAGCAAGGGTCCTTGTGCTGACTACGTACATGTCTGCTAAGACTTGCCTTCTCTCGGAAACTAGCTTTGCACTGAGGACACTGGTACAAGAAAGAACCAGTGTGAACCTGGAAGCACAGAAGTATTATTGATATATTGATTGTTTTTGTGATATTTCAGTAAATACTTCTGAAAGAAATCTCATTGTCTCATTACTAGGCTAATGAGCAAAGTGACCATTTGGCAGTGTATCATTATCTTCCTACATATGAGGGTACATGTCAAATTATATGTTATGAAAGCAGACTTTCCAACAAATATTCTGTTTGAAACCATGTTATAAATGAATCATTTGCCAGAAGAAATTTCGAAAATATTAAATTCAAGTGGACAGAATTCTAACAAGATAACATATCGTTTAGGTCAAATGGCTCATCGGTTTGGCGCATCACGCTGAGCGCCTTCGCGGATTCGAAACCAATGGGGATAATTATGTGCAAGAGAATTGCTGGACTCCTTGCTGTCGTAGGATAGTGAATGTAACCGATGCACATTTACCGCTTCCTTCACCATCAAATTTATGCATCTGGAACGATCACGGGCTAACCAATCCCAGACCTGACATAAACTAGTAATTGGACAAGATGCCATATGCTTAAGCTGTCCCATTGGATTCCCTCTCCCCCGGGATAAATTTGTTAATGCTGGAATAACCCTTGAATGCTGTACAAAAATTCCAAATTCACTTACATTTTTATGTTTCACAAGACTTGATCTCTTGGTAAATCTAGCATCACACTGATCACATTGAAATGGTTTCACACCTCGATGAGCAAGAATGTGATAATGCATAGATGCTTTATCTCTCACTCGAGCTTGGCACAGAGGACATTCATATGGCTTTTCACCAGTGTGAACCTGACAGAAAGTCAAAAAAAATATTAAATTGAGTGATGCCTGAAACACTAAAAAATAAATTGTAAATCTGAAGCAATTAGAGACTTATTTGAAGCAAAAAATGGAAGGACAATTTGTCATTATTACAATGAGCTTATACACATACACCATCATTTTAGGTAGTCAGTAAATCCTAATTTTAGTTTATTCGGTTGTGTTGTTAGAAATATGTCGAAGCAAAAACAATCTTTTAATTTTGAAGTGAGATGAATTTTGGTTTATTAGATTAACTAATCATAAACATAAAAAGATTGTTGAAATACTTTTTGATGTCTCTGCACGTGTCCCAATTGTGTAAAAGCTTTATTACAGACTTTGCATCTATATGGACGCTCACCAGTATGGGATCGAAGATGCACGTTGAGTCCTAAAAAAATAAATACAAATAACTTCATATCATTATATTTTACCATTCAGGAAATACAACATTACTCAATATAAGATATACATCTATCGAACAAGATCTTATTTGAATTGTTATGATGATTAATCATTATTTTATAACTTGCTATGCAAGAACGGAAGCAGGAAATTGAAGATACAAATTTATTATTCTTTACCTGCTTTATTGGGAAATGCTGACTCACATCTATGGCATCTGAAAGGACGTTTCATATGTTCTGTAGATCTATGTTTGCGTAACAGGAAGATTGAATCAAATTCCTTCTTGCAGTGATAACATTTGTGCACAGCCTAAAAAGGTACCAGATTTTAACATGTGAAAATTTTTTTTGTAAAAGTATTGAGAAATATATATATTACATGACATGCATCTGTAACGAATAACCGTTAGTTACACTCATACCCAACATGGGGCTGTGGTTCCCCATACGATTAGACTAACATATCGGCTTTCCTTCCCAGGAATGAATGAAAATCCTACATACCGGTGTTTGCACTGCAGATTTGTAATCGGATAACCCAATCATTTCTGCATTTGATTCCTTGTTCTCAGAATGTAACTGTGTATCAATTTTTCCAGGTGTTGAAGTACTTCGCATCAACGGAATTTGTCTCGTAGAAAATGGAGTATGTGATGATTGATCTGTCAAAAATTGGAAAATGTTATTTGGGGAAACACAAAAAAGATGATATATATTTATTTTGAGGAAAAACTTTGTTTCTTTATGCGATTTGTACAATTACCAAAACTGCCAAGCTTTGATTACAGGTGAAATTCCAAATATTAATAATGCCAAGGAAAGATTGTTTGAGTTCTCACTTCAAAGTTTTGCAAATGATTATTTAGAGATGAACAATTAAATAATGTCCTTCAAATAATTTGATTTAAATTTGATTAGCTAACTAAACTAGCAAACTAAAACAAAAAACGATGACACAAAAATTTGAATACGTGGCTGTGAACCAAAAAAAAACGATATTAACATCTAATAAAAAAAATACAATACATCATTTTATAATCAAAAATGAAATCTAATTTTGAAGTATTTTATCTAACCATATAAACCTCTGTAATCGATTTAAAATATAAGTTTACAACATGTCTGGACCTCGAACCACATCGGTTAACAGGAAATATAGAAAACTTGAGATTTTAAGGATGATACAAAAAACAATTAAACCTGCGCAAAAAGGATAAATTAGAATAAAATGAGAACTTTGATGATAATCTTTTCATAATACTTCAGTTTTTCATTCAAAGTACCTCCATGATTCTTTGTTCCATCAATATTTGGTGAAGTGAGAGAAGACGGATTCTGTGATCTGCAAAAGCTCATTGGATGACAAAGATTATAATGCATTGATAGGGCCCATTCAGATGTGAATTCCAACCTAGAAGTTGCAAAAAAAAAGACTTTTTTAACTAATATAGATTATGAAGTATGTTAGGCAAAGTGATTCTCTCATTCAAGTTCATTTTCCACTAAATTTCGGTAAGGCATTGATAATATCGCAATCCCTTGCATTAACTCATTTCCTTTGAACCTTCATTGACTTTATTCATACAGACATATATACCGCGATTAAAATCAGTAAAATAAATGTTTATTCTTCAAAAACACTTTTATTCAATGATTTGGGTTAATTCACTGTCAGAGTGTGTACAGTACACAAATATCAGTATTCCCGAAGTATGTGAACCAAGATGGCGGACGTTAGAATTTATAACTACGTAATCAGATCTTCTAAATTGTGGTGATGGGCGAGATGTGATGTATAAAACCCTATATTGACCATTCCACATGGGAATTATTGCTTTTAAGTATATAATCTCAATGAAGGAGATATTGTAACGACCACATGGGTTTATTCAGTCATTCAAGACACATTGAAAGCTGAAAAAATATGTTTCTGACGTCACAGTTTTAGAAAAAAAAAACGTGGAGCCGACAGTCTCTGCATCTCTTGAAGACAGTATGTCTCATCTTATTTCGATTCAAAAAACATACGTTTGAAAGGGCAGATAAAACGCATTTTAGAAAAGTAAACAAATCGTTTCTAACACATCTTTATATATTATAGTGATGCAGAATAACTAAATTTTGCTCTAAATATTTTTTACCAAATTATTATTTTCGCCCCACTGCAATAGAAACAAAGCCAGTTATCCCTCTCTTGAATGAACTAACATGAAGAGACCGAAATAACGTTTCTAAAGATACATTAATAGCTTATTTGGCATAAATAACAGAAAACATGAGACGTCATATCGTGGTGAAAATCCAGCTGTGTTTTGACTTTCACGATCGATATCTTGTGTCTGGTTTATATTCAGATTGTCAGTCTTGTTTCTTTGGAAAGGGGAGGCAAAGTACTATTCACAGAAATAGAAAAGTAGTTGTTATCGCTATGATGTTTACTACGGCTGACTTTGGTTGAAAATTTTTGAAAATTTGGATTCAACAACCCACCACGGTAGGGAGAATAGCGATATCGCTCTTTGGCAGCGTCACGCGGAAAGATGTCTAGTAATCCATTTAGAGATACTTGATTGGTAATTCTAGCATGTTTGAACGGCTAATCTTAAACTACCTGCACAGTCTACACAGTAAAGCATTTGGTGTGACCATTGATTTTGAATGCTGAAGATGTCTTCTTGGATAAAGCGGTGGGCTACCAGCCAAGGTAGTTATTTTTTGTGCTTCGTCTCCAGTTCCTACTGATTTTGCTGTAGAAGTAGGAAGCCCATAATTTGCCCCAAAAAAATTGACTCGATTCAAGGCTTGAGATCTCAACATGTATAGGGAAGCCCAAAATGATGATGGATCTTGGTAAGAGCCTGAAAAATGGAAATAATTCGTAATACAGAAAACCGGTTGAAGAATCTCTCAGTTATTAGGTACATTATATCTAAATATGATAGGAATAATGAAATTCAATATTATAGCCTAAAAAGTATTAAATAGTTTTGAAGACAGACATGAGGTAATACCAGCATTCATCTTAACAAAATAGTTTTTCTTTCAAACTAAATAAGAACAGTTGATTTTTAAATTATGCAAGCAGCTATATTTGATGTTTATTTCGTAAAAAATTCAACTTAAGATGGAATAGGATGAGGATTACCTAAAGCTGCTAAGACGGCTTAATCATATGACATACCGTGACCTCTTGTCCAGTTACCAGTCCATGTCGAGTATGGAATTAGTTAGCCAGTTGAGGAAGACTAACCGACCAGCGGTTACGTGAATCACCCTACGGCTGCGAGGAGTCCAGCAATCCTCTCACACGTAATTATCCCAATCGGGATTTGAACTTGCAAACCCACATAGGGTAATCAGAGGCGAGTGGCGAGCGAATTCCTAACGCTTAGCACGATGCGCTGCACCACTGAGCCAAGATCACGATTTTTTTAAATACTATGTAATACCTTGTATTGGAAGAGTTGGTGAATTTAGGTAAGAAGATGACAAAGTGTGATCAGCATTTTTCGCTTTCTTTCTTGATGGCACCGTGAGTGAATTCAAATCAACATACTCTGAACTACTTCTGAGTGAGTTTTCGTAACTTCTTCTGTTGGATGCAACGAATGGAAAAAGTGTAGAAGGCACTTGTTGCTGAGTACTTTGAGAATAGCAATACCTGGCATCAGATTTACTCGAGTTTGTAACATCTGAGTGAGAAGGATGTGAGTGCTTGGCATCGTCATTAAAATATTTCGCTTTCTCATCATAGTTGGCCGAAGATGCCATATTAGTAGTGACATTTTGAAATTGTGGATAGTATTCTGGCAAAAGTTGAACTTCGCTTTTGATTTTATATTGAGATGATTGAGTTGATTGTTCAGCATTGGTAGAATTAACACAATTTTTTTGATCATATGAAAAGACAGAAGATGGTGTTGCAATTTCAAATAAATCGACATTATTTGTATCTTGCGGTAAATCGTCCACGATTATTTCATCTTCCGAATCATTGCTCTTCGAAATATCTTCTGTGTAAGTGGGAGCAGATGCTGGACGAGATACTTCAATTTCTTTGGGAGTCGAACTGGGAGTTTCTGACAGACTAACTGGTCGGTGTTTGGGTACCACTGACTGTTTTTCATCAGCATAACTAGATGATGGACAGAATACAGTCATGTCTTCAGCTTCCCCATCTAGAGAAAATGATTTTATTTTTAATCTTCAACCCACCAATCAATAATTAAGTATTGATAGACTAGTTCGAATTGAATGTTGAAATTGAATAAGATGGCTTAATCATATAGCGAATCACAGCCACTCCTCTGCTCACCATCTATTAAGTTACTTGTTTAAGATGGATGGAATTAATGAGGGAGGAAATTGTAACCAGCCAGCGGTTCTGTGAACCACCGTAAGAAGTCAAGGAGTACTGCAATCCTATCTCCAGTATGATTCAAACATTTGAGCTAGAATAATGAATAATGTAATATAGAACATTTACCCAACGGCTTCAGGTACAGAGTCATTAAATATACGCTTTGTGTAGAAAGACAAGAAATCAAATTACCCTTGGTAAAGTTTGCTAAGCTGGAACATGATGAAACCCCACTTGAAGACTCTTCACTTTGTCCTCTCTTATAACTGTTGGTGGTTCCTTTGTAAAAACTAGTGAACAAAAATATTGGGTCTTGAATGATTCGGTATTTACAACAAATGAAATAAAAATCGAAGATGGTATTTAATCGTTGTTTTAGTCAAAAACGATTGTACAAACATGTTTTCAAATATTAAATTTGATATGAAATACAATCTGGACAAAGGACCAAGACAAACGCATTAATAGTGACCATGTCGCTGGGGACATGCCATCATATTGGAATCTATTACTCTATAACTAGTCATTGAAAAGGTGACGATGTTATTGATGATGTAAAAAAGCCAAAGCAATACTGAAATGTAAAACGTTCATTCCATTGCAATTGATGTGTTACTCCAGTGATTAACTTGTAACTCCTGTGTGACTTTTCCATATACCTTATATCGTGATTATTATTCTCATCTCGCAAAACGTTGCTGACTGATTCATCACTTTCCGTTCCACGAGCTACCGATTTTGAGGTGATGTGAGACCGCAGAAATTGACGGCATAAGGCTGTGACCTATATACATATGAAATAAGCACTATTTAACTAATGGGTACTGAATGCCATTGCAGTAAAAATAGTGGTGAGGGGTTTCACACTTTATTATATCACAAAAAAGGGTGATGCAGAAGTATTGCACCAAGATGTCACACAACCTGAATCCTATTCGGTACACACATAATATGCTCAGGTTGTGCGCCATCTTGGTGCACATACTTCTGGAGGTCCAAAAAAAGATAGTACCGGTAGTTCCATACATATCAGTGTTTGCATGTACATGGCCTTTTTCAGAGCAAAAGGCGTTAACAACTGACGTAAATAAAAACATGGGACAAATAATGAAAATGCATGATCAAACCTGCTCCAGTTCAAGCCCAAGAATTTCTGCCGCAAGAAGGACGTCCGCTGCGTTATCTTTCATCAACGACAGCTTTGATGTGTACATCAGGTTCAACAGGGTTATGAAGGTCTCAGAAGAGATCATTCCTAGAATAGAGAGTAAAAATAGTCTTTAGAAATGAAATCTTTCGCGCGAATAAAGTTTTTCAGAAAAATCGTGACAATGCGTCCACGGATTTGGTCTGATTGTGAAGATAAGCCAGATTAGTGTAAACACCTTAGTCTCGCGTGTCAACACCGACGTTGCGCAGATAATACAAATAAAGCTGAAATTTCCAGATTCTTCTTTTACGTCTAGTTGACCAAAAAAATTTTTGAGATAATGAACCGAAAAGTATATAACCTCATCTGTAGGTTCTTTGTTTCAAAATTATTATTCATTTTCGTGAAATATCAGAGTTCAAGTGAAAAGAATTTGACATTGAATTTATGTTTGGTCCAGATAAGATATGGAGCATACATTAGTGCATTTTTCTAGAGTTAATTTAGACTTTTGGTGACATTGAGGTGCAAAAACAACGCACTGCCTTATGTTTGGAATTAAACATGTGAAGCATAAACACAGTCGATACGTCGCGTACTGTTCCTGTCACGCATAAGATAATAATCTCAGATGAAAAGTTCATTCATTAACTCAACAACGCATTATTGGATCATATGAAGTCGCGTCTTCTTCACGCATTTTCATAAAGAATATTATATACCATGACAAAATTATCAGCAAAGAATATCATGTGTTTAATGTTTAAAATACCCAACCGCAACTGGTATTTAGATTACACATTTAATCGCATGAGGAGAGAGCAATACAAGAAACAAACCGAAAAAGAGCTTGGCAACCATTTAATTTTTTTACAAAATGGTGTATTCATTTTTACAAAGTACCGGTATTCATTTTTTCCAAACGTCACATACGCAAAATTCTTTATTCCTCAACTTTAATAATAATATTGAATAAAAATGGCAATTTCAAAGAAAACATATATGTATATATGGAAGTTACAAAAAAACAATATATTTCTCATAAATATAATAAGTATCCCATTTTTCATAAATATAAACCGGAATCTGTCTCACTCAATCTTTATTAATAGAGTTTTATAAATTGTTATCTCAATTAAAACACTTTAGAATTTTCATTTTAAACACTAAATCATGATATTGTTTTAATTTAAAAAAAATCAGTATATCGATAAAATGTAATTCCAAATAAAATTTTACCTTCATTGGCAGTAGACAGTTATATTTGCCAAATACAGTAAAATTACAGATATTTTACTGTTTCTGTAGGCCTATACATTTCAGTTCATAGTCCTTTACATGCAAATTTTGTATATAATTAACATTTCGTAAACCTTCGTTACTGATTATTCTATAAAACCGGCTTATATAATCAAACTTTTAACTTACATAACTAGTTCCAGGAAGAACTAACTTGATAAACAATTACCGAAGATACGCGACATGATAAATTAGCAAAGTTTACCTAAATGGATCACCGCTTCAGATTTTTCTTCATGCAGTAGGGATAATTCTCTTTCCAAGAAACGACTGCTCGCAGCAAGCACCGCCTGAATTCATAATTTATAAGAAACTAAATAACTAACCGCATTGATAAAACTGAAATTTAGTGTTTATCAGAAAGATTAAATAGCGTCAGCAGCATATTTGAAAATAAACACAGCTCTCATGATGAAAAATAGGATCTAAATGTCAATCTATTTTCAGACTCTAGCCCATGATGCATATACATTTTTGAATAAAATTAAAAGTTTTTACATCATATCAAAATTAGAAAATGTTGCGTTAAATTCTCTTCGGTAACATATCATGTTTTATATGTACAAATTTTCATAAAAATAGTAATGGTTAGTGGTGAAAGAAAAATTAACAGTATTTTACCCGGTGAGCTCTAAATGATTTTCTATCTTTCGTAATGATTGTGACATCACACATGCAAGCGGAATTTCTCTGTTCATTTAACTTTGCCATCAGTAATGGTGGGAACTCGTAAAAAACATGAACAAGCTAAAAAATAATTAGAGTCTTAGATTCAATTTGATACGTCAAAGTATGAAAATTGATTTATTATTACCTCAATTTTTATTAAAAATATTCTTATGATAAATTTGAAAAATTAATAAGAACATGGTGTAATAATAACAGAAAAATATATGGAATAAAATTATTACAGATAATAATAACACGGATTGAAAATATTAAATACATTTCATGCTAACACTAATGAAGTTGTCAATAATATTATGCCCTGACGTGCGACTTAAAACATTTCCTAAGTAGATGAGGACATAAATAATATAGGAAGTAATTTGTCAAATTGATTGTCAAATTAATAAACTCAGTAGTTTACAACTCAACAACAAAATAAGTGACACAATCCTGAATGCCAATGTAATCCTTGCTCATACTATTCATCTACAGTGATACCATCAAAATCTTAGGCATTAGAATAGTGTAATACAGACTCAACTAATTTCTCTGAATCAGAAAGGAAATATAGTGATTAGAGACAATCCGCTTTCAGACAACTCGCTTCCATAACAATACTAAAATAAATCACGCAAAACTAACTTAGATTTAAATGTATCTATTCCATTTCCTTATTATTCAGCCAAGTTGCAGGGATGAAAAACAATAAACTGCCACACAAATTCTATGCTAACGAACATGTCTATACTAAAATGTCACCAAAACATTATGAACATTTTTGGGCTTGTATATTAATACTAGTATCAGATGATTAGATAATATAAAAGTAAACACAGAAATAAGCAGAGTGAAAATTTCTAATTATAATTCTGAATCAGCCACATCTTTGTTTAAATAAAATCATTAAATAGTTAAAAATACCTTTTCCATGTTCTTTGCACTATCATTTTGAAACATTGTTTCGGGATGTTCTTTCAAAGTTCTACCATGTTCTGATGATGAATAATTCACTGCCATTGCAGTTGAAATTATCTTCTTTTTTCCAAACTTTGGTTCTGCAAGATAAAATATAAAGAAATTAAAAATAATCACAATTTATCCGTATCATTATTAAATAGATTTCTTAAGTACCTTAGCTTGCTCAAAAATCATCACAGTGAATGACAAATGCATTAAACGTTTGCAAATGATATATGGAATTTTGGCGTGAGGCAGGAAATCGAACTCTGAATGACTTCTTTATGCGCTTACATTACATAAGAAAGGAATAAAAAAATGTTAATTCCTTTAGAATCTCAATATTATCGTGTTACCGCTTCTATTCATGGCACCGGAAAGGAATCATGATCCGAAATGATATCAGTTATTCATCTGCATTATCGCAGTATCATATATATATTCAATTTTTATACTCTTATCAGATTTCATTAATGCACACGACTTCACACCAATTAATACAAAACAATTGGTGCGAAAACATTCTGATTCATACCTATGCAACACCTTAAATTTACCGGCATTATAAACGGTGGTAAAATTCAATAGACAGATAGGAAAACGTCCTACGACTATTATGTAATTATTATGTAATGCATTGATGAATACATCTCCAACATAACATTTCCTTTCGCATGTTTCAGCCTTTTTGGAATAAAAGACGCCTTCAACAGCCATCTACCATCATTGAATGGAACAAAGGCCATCTGTTTTTCAGATACATGAATTTCCAAACACTTGCATTCACTGCAAATACACTACATTCTGGTCAATATTTGAATTGTACAATGCGGTAAAAAAAGGGTTATATTTCGACACTTGATACTCGGGAGAAGTGCACAAAACATACCGTACGTGGTAGTATACACGTCCATCAAAAAATAGGGTCGGAGCACGCACAAAAATTAAAATGTTGTCTTCATGAATGAATATTGTAATGTCGCAAGTGCTTCAGGTAAGCTTCTCAAGGTATTATGATAAAATAAAACACTATTTTGTTACTGACATAGATAAAAGTGATAAGAAAAAGCACAAGTGAGTCCTGGGAAACCAGGCCCGAAATACGTGCACACCTACCTCGTTTCGCTCGCGTCCGCGACATCTGCGAATTTCCCCATTAAGTTCTGGGGAATTCCCAGCTTCGCAAGGTGAAGCACGGGACAAATAATAGCAACATTCACGACAAAGGATATAATTGGATACGAATTTCAGTAACAGTCATGTTTTTTATTTTATTTTAGAACGTATGCAGGTCTAAATTTCGGTATATTCCAGTGGCGAGGGTTAATTGGCCTTATAATGGTTACTCGAGACTTTCTTCGAAAGCGAGTTTATTCGTCTTTACTAAGCGCGCGTGACCTCGATTTGAGCAAGTTTTTATAGAAAAAAAAGATTGACTAGCGTTTTGCATTAAAATATTGGACTCATAAAACCATTTACCAAATGCATTTAAAAAGCTTTGTAATATACAAATGCAAAAACAAAATGGCGAAGTGGTGAGTAATGCCCGCGGATGACCTGAGGCAGCTTGTTGAAGAGCGCTGGTGAATTTTAAACAAATTTCAACTTTGTTTATTTTTGCAACATCATACCACTAAACAAAATTGACATTGGAATTGTACTCGTTATTCGCTTTCAATATCGCCAGTCAGTTCTTGGCTGAATTCAAATGTTCTCAAAATATCTGTGGAATGTTGAAGGAGCGAGAACTGCCTTACTTGAATGTCACATAGATTGGAGAGTAAGATAAAAATAATATAAGAGCACGTTTATTTTTTCAAATTTGCGTATCTTCGCGCAAACTCGATTGCGACCAGTCTGATAGCTGATGGTAGAGCAAAGAAAAAACCTTCACTCGCGAAAAAAGCGCGAGGACTCGCGGAACAATTTGATTGGCCTGACGACAAAACGCCCATCGCAAGTTCAGGAAAATTTGAACATTGCCCATTAGTACTTTCATGTCCCATGTTTTAAACATCATTCGAAGTTTCAAAATCTTCCCTGAATTCCGTTTTGTTTTTTCATACGTATTTTAATTTTTGTACCATGCTAAGTTCAAAAATGAGTTGTCCATATTACGAGCAAAATAAACGCAGATAATCATAGTGGTTTGCAAAGTGCCTGTGCGTTTTATGACATTAAATGTTTTTTCAACTGGACAAGAAGAGGACCTATGAATCGCTGTGCTAAATTATTGTTGTTCTTGAGAAAAATTCGCTTTTCCTTTTTTTTTTTAAATTTCCTCCGAGTCCTGATAAATTTCCCTGAAAAATGTTGTCGTTTAATTTCCATTAAATGGGAACACCCTGTATCAATTTGCGATGGATTCAATTGGCGACTGTTTCCCATTTGGCTTTCAAACCATCTCGATATCGGAATGAAGTGATACATTGTTCCCAGTTATCGATAAAAACAATAAATTCGAGTTATTGAGATATAGTAGTTTTTCGAGCACCAATAATTTCGAAATTCATTTAAACGCAATCATTTGACATCTAATTCATTTGGAAAAAATATAGAAGTCCATTGCGAAGAGCGCTTTTCCAAAGTTTAATTTCGATGATTTCAACGTGACAATTTTCTGCGTTATACGTAGCTCAATCATAAAAATAATCTATAATCAAACTCTTTTATAAGGCCCATCTGTCGACGTGGCCGCTGTATAAGTAGTGTCCGTGTCTTGATTCTTCAGTCATGGGAAGCGAGTGGATGGCAAAATTTACTAGCCAAACAATAGCCGGTTTTATGACACTGGCTTATTTCCACAACTTTTCATTAGCCTATTCTCCAAACTACGCAAACGGAGTTGATGTAAAATATTTGTTGTACTAATTCATCTGTATCACATCGCTACTGTTGCCAGGCGAAATTGGTGATGTCGTGACAGCTTTCCTCTTGGTCACGTCATCGGTAGAATATTAAATGCATTCGTCATTTTATCATCGGATTTCACTCCCGCTCGAGTAAAACTGTTTGCCAATACTGCAAGCATGGTCTCATTCATTTTGTGTTTGTAACCGAGTCTATCCCAACATAATGAAATCGCAAGCTTCACGATTTTTTTACTATCATTATTACCGTGATTAGCGTTGTATTCGTTTGTTTTTACTCCCATCTTTTTTTTGTTGCTTTCTTTTTTTTTTCAAAATGTTTTCCGTCATTGTCTAAAAATCTAACAGCTTGATCCGTAGGCCCGCTTCTCCATCCAATAACCAGACAGGGATCGGCAACTGGTTAAACGGTGACGTAAAGTTTGCCACTCTCAAGCTGCTAGTCAACATGTTCATAATAACGGCCCGTACTGAGTATATTTGTAAGTGGGAATTAGTCGATAGATCATTTTTGCGGTGACGAATACTAATTTAAAGATGGTAATCGCACCTATTCTACGAATAATATCCTGTTATGCAATTATTCTCGGGAAGATCATTAAATCCTTGGTTTTCTCAAAAAAACACCAAGCCATATCCTGTTCACTGTTAAAAAATAAGTGAATTCAAGTGTTTATTATTGCGACTTGAAGTACAACAAGCAAAGATCGGTACTCCTACTTTTATACTCTTGCATGATATATTACGTGGGTAATATATATATCGACGGTCAGAAAAATTTGCTTTATTGCTTAATGTTTACCATTCATGTTGTTGATGAATTAAATGACTGATGCGTTCTGTATATTTTGAAGATATTCTTAATAGTTTTCTTCGAATAGCCGTCGGCGACAATTGAAAGATAACTAGACGGCCACAAATAATCTCCATTGCAATTATGGATAGGGTAATTTCTTGAACGTAATAAACATCCTAAAAAAAGTAATTTGTCCCAATGAACTCAGACAGAATATGGTTCCCGAAAGTTATGTAGACATCTAATTTATTTGAAGCGTATATTATAAAACATATTATGAAATCAAACTTCTATTGGTAGTTTCGCCACTTTGAAACTTTTACGTAAGTTATCTGCGGTGTTACGCAACCAAAGCTTTATCAGAAACGAAAAAATTTGAATACTGTTCGAAAATATCATATTAAGACTTGATAACAACACAGGCGAGCTTCATAACATACGCCACAAATTTTCCCTAATTATTTTGGATATAAGACAAAATTTTGAAACGCCTCGCGATTGATGGGTCCAATTTGTCACATAACAGATATTATCGTAATGATTATTTCTATTTAGTGAAACAAAAAAAGAAATGTCATGCTTAAAAAAATACTCTGTGGTTTACTAATGACTTTTCAATTATAAATAATGCAAAAATATTGTTTTAGGTACCGTTCAATTTAATTAAATATATATTTGATTTAGGAAAGCAAAAGTTGACGGTAAAATTCTTATTTGTTCAAGCCATAATACAAATATTAGGTTTGATTCAATAATAAAATAAGAAATTCAGGAAATTATCCGCCATTTTGATGCAACGATTACAATATCCTTCAGAATCTTCCACAAATTTATTAGTTGAAGACAACCTATTTTACGACATTTTTAATGGAAAAGTATATACAATTCCACTAAACATCTTGCGACCATTTTGGTAAAAAATTGATATACCTTAGATCAAGAAATGTCACTGTATAAATTAAAAAAAAAATTCACTTGGTCAACTTTTCACTAGAATATTCATATATTAAAAACTATTCATCTTTTCGGAGCTTTTTACGCCAAGTGTTTCTGGAACGTTTTAGCTATTTTGACCATAGGAAAAAATATTAAATTTCGGAAGCGAGTTTATTTTTTATTCCGAACAGTCAATATACAAGAAAAATACAAATCTCGTAGTGTAGCGGCTAATGCGAGTTTGGATACTTTGTTTATATTTTTAACAGTTATTAGAATATGCCACGCTTTCGTCCAACAGAAACGCGGCACGCCCATTGGTAATGTAATAAGAGAAATATAAACGAGTCACGTCTTTTTTTCGATGACGTACGCCCACAATCAAGACCCTATTCCCTTATTTTCAACAACATGGTAGGCGAGTTTAATGAAGTATTTTAGATATTGATTGCGGAAAGAACTTTACGAAGCCAAAGTAAAGAATCTAAAGTTTAGAAATTGAGTTTAGCATGGAATTTTAAACCACTTAGTGTGCTAACCATGGTAACGATTGTGAATCGCCTATTTAGCACGAGAGAGCACTGACAGAAAAATATTTTCATACATAACTTTTTGCAACAACATCAAAATCTGAAAAAGTTACTTCCGGTGCTTTCGAGACATCAAACCACTATGACGTGTTTCGTACCCTTTCTATCCACTGGTACATGGGGAGGTAGTGTTTCAGAAATAGGTTTGAAACATCTTACACCATTTGCATATCCCGGGTGAGTTGATGGCAGTCGCGGGAACTCGTACCTGAGACGTTACCAAATAGCCGAATCCGACGCGATAATCTCTAGACCAGGTGTATAGTTCGGTTGGAACCGAGATTGTTAGAACGCAAGTTTTGATATATGATTTTCAGA